ATGTGATGGTTGTCTAGCCTGCAGTGGGGTACTCTATAGCGAGTACAGCCCTTCTAGGGTTTGCTATATGTATCCCTATGCTTGTTAGTCAAAACCCTTCTTGCCTGTTTCTCGTTTTCGCCTAGCCTTTTGACATGGTATCAGAGCAGGTCGACCCTCCTGGGTCGATCCTGTGGGTGGTCCCGCCCGTTAGCTTCCGCTGCTGTTCTGTGTGTCGCGCGCCACGGGGCGCGCGACGGATTTTTTTTGTCTTTCCGCCACGCGCTCGGGGCGCGTGGCGGTTTTCTGCTCGCCGCGCACCCCGAACGCGCGGCGGTTTTCTGCCTGCCGTGCGCCCCGAGGCGCGCGGCGGTTTCCCACCGTCGCGTCACCCCGAGAACCCGCGCGCGGCTCCCCGTCGCCCTCCGAAGCGGCCCCGTCGACCCGCGCGCGACTCTCCCGTCGTCCGTCGTGGCGCCCCGTCGACCCGCGCGTCGCCCCCGGGGACCTGCGCGCCCGTCCCCGTCGACCCACGCGCCCCTCCCGTGGACCCGCGCGCCGCCCCCGGGGACCCGCGCGCCCGTCCCCGTCGACCCGTGCGCCCCTCCCGTGGACCCGCGCGCCGCCCCCGGGAACCTCCGCGCCCGCCCCAGTCGACCCGCGCGCCGCCCCTTACCCCATGCGCTGCGGGGCTGCCTCCTCCCCGCTCCTACCCCGTATTGCGTGTGTTAGGGTTTGGGGGTGGCGAGCGTGGGGGTGGCCAGAATGGGGGTGACGGGTGAGTGCGCCATCCCCTGCTCCTCCTCCTCCTCCGTCTCCCACTGCTGCAGCTGCCGCTCAGGGGGGTGGATGTGTTGGAGCCGTCAGGAGGGGGGTGGCGTGTGAGCGTTGCTAGTGGTTCAACAGGGGGTGTGTGATAGGGGTGTGGGACAGTTGGGGGAGGTTGACAGGAGGTAGCCGGTGTGACGTCTGCAGCGCCAGTAGCCCGGGGGTTGAGTACTCCGGTAGCCCAGCGAGCCTGCTGCGCCAGTCGCCCGTGGGTCCGTTGCTCCTGCAGCTTAGTGCGGAGCCAGTTACTCCTGTAGTCCGGAGGTTGAGTGCTCCGGTAGCCACTGTGCGCGCCGTTCCTGTTGCCCGAGTGTCTGTCGCCGTGTAGTCCGGGGCTCTGCGCCTGGTAGCGACAGTGCTGCGCGCTTCTGTTGCGCGTGTGTCTGCAGCTTTAGCCATTGCCTCCCATCTTCTTGCTCCCACAGTTTCTCCTCCTCCTCACTTGCCCTCTGTGATAGCCTCTAGCTTTGCTTGTATTTGTGAACCTACTGCTCTGCCTGCTTGTTGTGTTGATTGTACCCCACTTTGACTATGGGGGTGTGTCAGAATGTGATGGTTGTCTAGCCTGCAGTGGGGTACTCTATAGCGAGTACAGCCCTTCTAGGGTTTGCTATATGTATCCCTATGCTTGTTAGTCAAAACCCTTCTTGCCTGTTTCTCGTTTTCGCCTAGCCTTTTGACAGATCTTAGCCTGCATAATTGCTCCTCCGTGACAAGCCTGCCCAGTTCTTTCACCAACCTCACTTACCTGCACAAATTGGATGTCAGTGTCAGAATGTCATGGTTGTCTAGCCTGCAGTGGGGTACTCTATAGCGAGTACAGCCCTTCTAGGGTTTGCTATATGTATCCCTATGCTTGTTAGTGAAAACCCTTCTTGCCTGATTCTGATTCTTGCCTAGTATTGATATGCTATCAGAGCAGGTCGACCCTCCTGGGTCGATCCTGTGGGTGGTCCCACCCATTAGCTTCCGCTGCTACTCTGTGTGTCGCGCGCCCCGTGGTGCGCGACGGATTTTTCTTGCTGCCGTGCGCCCCGAGGCGCGCGGCGGTTTGTCAAACTATGCATATTGTGTTTGTGTAGGCTGCTAGTGGGGTAGCCCATATGGGGTACAACCCAATGTTAGGGTTAGCTTATGTACCCAACTCTTGATCAATGCATCATCCTTGTCTCTAGATTCTAACATGGTTTCAGAGCAGTAGGTCCGTAGGACCGTTTTTTTTTTTCCGGGCCCACCTACCGCTACCCCACGCCTGTGCCTGTGCCTGTGACGTGCTGCGCTGCGCGCGCCGTCTGCCTGTAGCCTACTGCCTGCTGCCTACTGTGCCGTCTGCTGCTGCTACCGCGCAGACCTACGTCAAGCACGCTGCCTGCTACTGTCCCTCGCTGCTCGCGCCGCTCTGCTGCCTCTCACACACCGTCATCGCGGCGCACCACCCCCGTCGAGCCGCGTGCAGCCCTGCCGAGCCGCGCGCAGCCCCATAGAGCCGCGCGCAGCCCCATAGAGCCGCGCGCAGCCCCATAGAGCCGCGCGCAGCCCGGATCTGGTGCGCTCAGCCCCCGCCGAGCCGCGCGTGTCCCCGCCGAGCCGCGCGCAGCCCCGTCGAGCCGCGCACAGCCCGTTTCCTGCTGCGCGCAGCCTATTCGAGCCGCGCGCGGCCCGTTTTTGGCTGCGCGCAGCCCTGTCGAGCCGTGCGCGGCCCTTTTTTCAGCTGCGCGCAGCCCGCGCCGAGCCGCGCACAGCCCGCTGCTGCCGCGCGCGACCCCCCCCGAGCCGCGCGCAGCCCCTGCCGAGCCGCGCGCGGCCTCCTGCTTCTGCGCGCAGCCCCTGCTGAGCTGCGCGCGGCCTGCTGCTGCTGCGCGCGGCCTGCTTCTGCCTCCCGCAGCCCGCGCACAGCCCACAGCAGCCGCGCGCGCTGCACTGCATAGCCTGCAGCTGCATCGGCCCCGACCTTCCACTGCTGCGGCCCCGCGCTGCAGCTCCCGGGGCCCCGACTTGCCGCTGATGCGGCCCCCACTCTGCGACTGCCGCTGAAGCGGCCCCACCCTGCAGTTGCTGCGGCCCTACTCTGCAGTCGCTGTTACGGCTCCACCGTCGCTGCAGTCGTGCGCCTACTCGGCCCTGCTCGCCTGGCGAGCACTCACTCTTCCAGCCTTTGGTGAGCACCTGCCTGCCTGCCTGCCTGCCTGCCTGCCTGGCTGCCTGCCTGCCTGCCTGCCTGCCTGCCTGTCTGTCTGCTGGCCTGCCTGTCTGTCGGCCTGCCTGCCTGCCTGCTGGCCTGCCTGCCTGCCTGCCAGCCTGCCTGCCTGCCTGCCAGCCTGCCTGCCTGCCTGCCTGCCGGCCTGTCTGCCTGTCGGCTTGCCTGCCTACCTGCTGGCCTGCCTGCCTACCTGTCAGTCTGCCTGCCTGCCTGCCGGCCTGTCTGCCTGTCAGCCTGCCTGCCTACCTGCCTGCCTGCCTGCCTGCCTGCCTGTCTGTCTGCCGGCCTGCCGCGCCTGCCCTGCCCGAGCTGCTGCTGCTGCTAGCTCTTAGCAAGGGACCAGATGCAGCTCCAGCAACGCTCACGCGAGTCTCTCACGCCCCAGCAGCTTAGTGAGTGGTATACTAGTTGGGGCTGTCGTGGTAGCCGTCGTAGCTGTCGCCCTGGAGCTGGTCAGTTGGGGGCCTCTAGCAGTGGCCAGCTGCAGCTGCAGCGGCGCCCACGCGAGACACTTACGTCCCGGCAGCTCCACGAGTGGTACGCTCAGTGTAGCAGGTCTACGCGTACAGTTCGCTGCCAGTACGTCATTCGCACCGGTGATAGGACTGGTCAGCCTTGCGGGACGCTTGGTCACACAGAGTCCCGCTGCTTCGCCCGTCTGAGCGACGACTGGCGTACAGTGTTTGGCGACGAGGCTGAGCTCCCCGACTGGCTGGAGCTGCTTGGACAGAGGGTAGATATCTTTGCTCCTGACTATGATGCTATTCTCACTGCCATGTATGCATTGCCTACTAGTGTTGACCGTGCCTGTTACCTGTGCGTCCCGCCTGACCCTGGTATAGCACCTGCTGCTCCCGGTACTGGTGAGGCTGCTGCCCTAGGTGCTCGTGCGTCTCCTGCTCTAGGTGTTGGTGAGGCTGCTGCTCTAGGTGCCGGTACGTCTCCTGCTCCAGGTGCTGGTGAGTCTGCTCTCTCTAGTTCTGCGCCTGCTGCGGCCTTGTACACCTTCACGCTTGACTCAGGTGCTTCCCGCTCCTTCTTTCGCGACTGCACCACACTCACGCCGCTTAGTCGGCCGGTTGCAGTCTCCCTGGCGGACCCCTCTGGGGGTCCAGTCCTTGCCCACTACTCCACGGTTCTGCCGTGTCCGGCCGCCCCGTCTGGCTTGCTGTCAGGTCTTTACCTTCCCTCGTTCTCTACGAACTTGGTGAGTGGAGCTGACCTCCAGGATCAGGGGGTGCACCAGTTCACTCCTGCGAGTCAGCGGGTGACTCACTGCACGTGTGCTCGGACCGGCCGACACCTGGCCACGTTTTCCCGTGCGCCTGGCTCGAGTCTGTACACCCTGACCACTGCGTCCGCTCAGGTAGCTGCGTCTGCGTCTGCGTCTGCGTCCGGTCAGCCGACGGCCCCCTGCGAGTGTCGCGCTTTGTCGCACCAGACCCTCCTGTGGCACCACCGCCTTGGTCACCCCTCGGTGCAGCGCCTTCGTGGCATGCACTCTCGCTTCCTGGTTTCTGGTCTGCCCAGGTCTTTGCCTGCCCTCCCTCCCTCGCCTGTGCCGCCCTGCATTCCTTGCGTCGAAGGGCGGCAGCGCGCCGCTCCTCACTCCTCCTCGTTCCCTCCCACAGAGGCTCCCCTGCAGACTCTCCACCTGGACGTGTGGGGCCCAGCCCGCGTCCGTGGACAGGGCCACGAGCGGTACTTCCTGCTGGTTGTTGACGACTACACGCGTTACACCACGGTCTTTCCCCTGCGCAGCAAGGGGGAGGTCCCTGCTGTTTTGATCCCTTGGATCCGCGCTGCCCGTCTCCAGCTCCGCGAGCGGTTCGGGACGGAGTTTCCCGTCCTGCGTCTGCACTCTGACAGAGGTGGTGAGTTCTCCTCCGACCTCTTGGCGGCCTTCTGTGCGGAGCACGGCATCACCCAGTCGTTCACGCTTCCGGCCTCTCCGCAGTAGAATGGGGTTGCTGAGCGCCGCATTGGCTTAGTCATGGAGGTCGCTCGTACCTCCATGATCCATGCGGCTGCCCCCCATTTTCTGTGGCCGTTTGCGGTCCGGTACGCCACGCATCAGCTCAACCTCTGGCCCCGTGTCTCCTTGCCGGAGACCTCGCCCACACTGCTGTGGACGGGGAAGGTTGGCGATGCGTCGCGTTTCCGGGTCTGGGGTGCTCGTGCCTTTGTCCGCGATACCACCGCGGACAAGCTCTCCGCCCGTGCAGTTCCCTGTGTCTTCCTTGGCTTTGTCCCTGACGCGCCTGGTTGGCAGTTTTACCACCCCACCTCGCGCCGTGTCTTTGCGTCTCAGGACGTCACGTTCGATGAGTCGGTTCCCTTTTACCATCTCTTCCCCTACCGCACTGCCCCTCTCCCTCCCCCGCCGCTCTTCCTCGCTCCAGGTGCTCCCCAGGTCGACCCTCTCCCCGCTCCAGGTCCTGCTCCCTCAGGTGTGTCTCAGGTAGACCCTCCTCCCTTCCCTGCGCTGGTTGAGGTCACTGGTGACTCAGGTCCTGCTGGGGGTGGTCCTGCTCGGGGTGCTACTTCTGGGGGTGCTGAGTCTGGGGGTGCTGAGCCTGGGGGTGAGGAGCCTGGGGGTGCGGAGCTTGAGGGTGTCGAGCCTGGAGGTGCTGAGCCTGCGTGTGAGGGGTCTGGAGGTGCTGGAGCTGGTGGTTCTGGGGCTGCTGAGGGTGCTAGCGCTGGAGGTTCTGGAGCTGCTGGAGGTCCTGGTGCTGGTGGCGCTGGAGCTGCTGAGGGTGCTGGCGCTGAGGGTTCAGAGTCTGCTGTTGCGCGGTCTCCTTGGAGTAGCCGCCTTCGTCCACGTGTGCCTCTCACCTCGCAGCAGCTGCACGACTGGTACGGTCGCCGTCAGCGTCGCGCTGCTGGAGCTAGGAGTGGTGCTGGTACTGTTTCTACTGGAGGTGCTGGAGTCGCTGGTCCCGGAGCTGCTCGTACTGGAGGTACTGGAGCTGCTGGGGCTGAGGGTGCTGCGTCTGGAGGTGCTGCTGCTGGAGACACCGAGGCTGGAGACCCTGGGACTGGAGGTGCTGGTTCTGGGGGTGCTGCTGCTGGAGACGTGGAGGCTGGAGACCCTGGGACTGGAGGTACTGGTTCTGGGGGTGCTGCTGCTGGAGGCACTGGGGTTGGAGACCCTGGGCCTGGAGGTGTCGGTTCTGCTGCAGGAGCTGCTGGAGCTGCCGGTACTGGTGCAGCTGCGCCGCCACGACTGTTCTTCGCTCCGCCGTCTCCGTCGTCTCTGCCGCTGCCTGACTCTGTTCTTCGTCAGGTTCTTACTCTCCCGTCGTCTACTGGTCTTCCGTTACAGCCTGGCTCTCCGCTGCCTGCTCCTTCTCCTTACACTGAGCAGACGGGTAGTCTTGCTGAGCGTCGTGAGCCTGCGTCGCGTCCTGTCTCGCCTGTTCGTCCTAGTCGTACCGGTCGTCATGTTCTGTGTCCTCGTTCGCCGCCTGTCCCCACCGCACACCTTGTCGTCCGTCGTCCTTCCTCTGTTCCGCAGTCTGTTTCTCTGCCGTCTCCTCCTGCGTCTTCCTTGCCTCACGTTCCGGACCCTGAGTCTGACCAGTTTCGTGCTGAGCACCCTACTATCACGCGTCTGCTCGCCACTGTTGTCACTGACCCCTCGTTTGAGTCTGCTGCTGCGACTGCTTTGGTTGCTGAGCTTGTTGACTTTGCGGCTGCCTGTCGTCTAGACTACGCTACTAGTCTTGTCGCTGAGTCTGAGTCTGTCTGTCCTCCGTCCGTCGGGGGTGAGTGTGCTCTTAGCACGGACGTCCTTGAGGACAGGCACGAGGACCTTGAGTGTCTTGCAGCCGCTGCGCCTCATCTCGTGACCATGCTGCTTGCCCCTGAGGGAGACCCGGATGCACTAGACATCCCCACCCCGCGCTCGTACGCTGAGGCGGTCGCGGGTCCCTACTCCTCTCAGTGGCAGGCAGCCATGGACGCAGAGATGGCATCCTGGAAGTCCACAGGCACCTACGTCGACGACGTTCCCCCTCCTGGGGCGAACATCGTCAGTGGCATGTGGATTTTCAGGGTGAAGCGGCCGCCTGGTTCTCCGCCTGTCTTCAAGGCACGTTACGTTGCTCGAGGCTTCAGTCAGCGAGAGGGGGTTGACTTCTTCCAGACCTTCTCCCCCACCCCGAAGATGACCACTCTTCGGGTACTGCTGCACGTTGCCGCCCAGCGTGACTACGAGCTTCACTCACTTGACTTTAGCACAGCTTTCTTGCAGGGCAGCCTGCACGAGGAGATCTGGCTGCGCCGCCCACCTGGCTTCACTGGGTCGTTCCCTCCTGGTACCCAGTGGAGCCTCCGCCGGCCAGTCTACGGTCTCCGTCAGGCGCCTCGCGAGTGGCACGACACACTGAGGACTACGCTTGCGGCTCTCGGGTTTGCGCCCTCCACAGCTGACCCGTCACTGTTTCTGCGCACCGACACTTCGCTGCCGCCGTTCTACATCCTCGTGTATGTCGACGACTTGGTCTTTGCCACTGCTGACACTGAGGCTCTCGCCCTGGTGAAGTCGGAGCTGCAGAAGAGACACACGTGCACAGATCTGGGTGAGCTGCGCAGCTACCTTGGCTTGCAGATCACCCGGGACAGAGCACGTCGCACCATCACTCTGACTCAGTCACACATGGTGCAGCAGGTCCTTCAGCGCTTCGGCTTCACCTGGTCCTCGGCACAGTCCACTCCTCTGGCTACAAGTCACTCGCTCTCAGCTCCACCTTCGGACGAGTCCGTAGAGCCGAGTGGTCCTTACCCAGAGCTAGTAGGCTGCCTCATGTACCTGATGACTTGCACTCGTCCTGACCTTGCGTACCCTCTTGGCCTTTTGGCCCGCTACGTGGCTCCTGGTCGGCACCGAAAGGTGCACTGGGATGCTGCGAAGAGGGTACTGCGCTACTTGTGCAGTACATCGGGCATGGGGCTCGTGCTTGGAGGACGGCGAGAGGTGGTCCTCACTGGGCACTAAGACGCATCTTGGGTTGACGACCAGGCTACACAGCGGTCGTCACAGGGTTACACTTTCAGCCTCGGCTCTGGCTCTGTTTCGTGGCGTTCTACTCGCTCGTCTTCTGTTCTCAGCTCCAGTTGTGAGGCTGAGATCTACGCCACCGCCATGGCTGCTCAGGAGCTGCGCTGGCTCACGTACCTGCTGACTGACCTGGGAGAGCGGCCTCGTTCTCCTCCAGTTCTGTACGTTGACAACAAGGCAGCCATTGCCTTGTGTGAGGGGCACAGACTGGAGCACAGATAGAAGCACATCGCTCTGCGTTACTTCTTGGCTCGAGAGTTGCAGCAGCGTGGTCAGCTTCGTCTTGCACACGTGGCCACTCGGGCCAACACTGCTGATATATTCACCAAGGCACTTCCGTCTGGTGATCATCAGCGCTTTTGTACCTTGTTGGGCCTTGTGCCTACGTTTCCACACTTGCTGTAGACTCTGCCTGTACTGTGATCTTTATATATATATACCTGCATGCTTGCTCTTGCTAGGTAGTGATCACTGTACTTTGTTTGTTGCATATATACCTCTGCATGTGGACAGGCCTTGTGGCCCTTTGCTTGTGCTCAGTGTGTGTGGTGACGTTGTGATCCACCCTGAGCTTGTTTTGTTTCTCTTGACTGGTCTTGTGACCCCTTGTTCTCCCCCACTTTGCCTATGGGGGTGTGTCAAACTATGCATATTGTGTTTGTGTAGGCTGCTAGTGGGGTAGCCCATATGGGGTACAACCCAATGTTAGGGTTAGCTTATGTACCCAACTCTTGATCAATGCATCATCCTTGTCTCTAGATTCTAACAGGTTTTTCCCCCGTCAAAACGCCCCCCGTCGCCCGTCGTAGCGCCCCTGGGCCCCGCGTGGGCCGCGCGCGGCCCGTACGACCTGCGCCAGGCCCGCGCGCGGCCCGTACGGTCTGCGCCAGGCCCGCGTGCGGCCCGTACGGGCTGCGCCAGGCCCGCGCGCGGCCCGGGCAGCCTGCCCCGGAGCCGCGCACCGTTCCCCGGGCTGCTGCCCGCTGTGTCCCCCGCTGCTGCCCGCGCTTCTGCCTATATTAGGGTTTCGGGTGGCGAGTGTGGGGGTGGCGCGTATGGGGGTGACGAGTGGGTGAGTGCGCCATCCGCTGCTCTTCCTCCTCCTCCGTCTCCCACTGCTGCAGCTGCTGCTCAGGGGGGTGGATGTGTTGGAGCCGTCAGGAGGGGGGTGGCGTGTGAGCAGTGCTAGAGGTACAGCAGGGGGTGTGTGAAAGGGGTGTGGGACAGCTGGGGGAAGTTGTGTGGAAGCAGCCGTCTTGTCGTCCGCAGCGCCTGTAGTCCAGAGAGCCAGCTGCGTCTGTGGCCTGAGTAGTCCGGGGCTCTGCGCCTGGTAGCCACAGTGTGAGCACTCCTGGTAGTCCAGAGAGCCAGCTGCGTCTGTGGCCTGAGTAGTCCGGGTATAGCCTGGTAGCCACAGTGTGAGCACTCCTGGTAGTCCAGAGAGCCAGCTGCGTCTGTGGCCTGAGTAGTCCGGGTATAGCCTGGTAGCTACAGTGTGAGCACTCCTGGGAGCACAGAGAGCCAGCTGCGCCTGTCGCCTGAGTAGTCCGGGTTTAGCCTGGTAGCGACAGTGCTGCGCACTCCTGTTGCCCGTGTGTCTGCAGCTTCAGCCGTCGCCTCCCATCTTCTTGCTCCCACAGTTTCTCCTCCTCCTCACTTGCCCTCCGTAATAGCCTCTAGCTTTGCTTGTATTTGTGAACCTACTGCTCTGCCTGCTTGTTGTGTTGATTGTACCCCACTTTGACTATGGGGGTGTGTCAGAATGTCATGGTTGTCTAGCCTGCAGTGGGGTACTCTATAGCGAGTACAGCCCTTCTAGGGTTTGCTATATGTATCCCTATGCTTGTTAGTGAAAACCCTTCTTGCCTGATTCTGATTCTTGCCTAGTATTTCGATAGTCAGCAAGATGGCACTTCACTTCCTGCCCCCCAACTTCCACCATTTGGCACGACTCAGAGAGCTGGACATGAGTGACTGTGAGCAGCTTCAGTCCCTGTCTAAATTGATGCTGCTGCGAGTGCTGAATCTCAAGGGCTGCAAGATGCTTGGCCGAGAGCTGGTGCCTATCGATCTTTATATAAGGGTTGGACTCAAGTCGTACCAAGACTAACCATAGGTTACTACGTGATATATGCTCCTTGATGTTGTTTGGGTTTGCATATTTGTGTACAACTGTTGTATTCGTTCAGAGATAAGCACAGCACTTCCCATAGTGCAGCTTTCCAAGGGCACCTTACATGTAGGACGTGGATGGGCGTATCGGGGACTGGAAAGAAAAAACCTGGCATCATTTTCATAACTAAGATTCTAGAAATGGTATCACTCAAAAAGACTACACAGCTGTGAGAAAGACAAGCCAGGGTAAATCCAGTCTTCATCACAGAAAAGCATGAGAAACATGCCCAGCCCTATCAGGTGCTTGGGGCTGCCTCTGGTACCTTGTACCAATAGCTCTCTGCCTCGTTATAAGGTATCGCAAAACACTACGGTAGTAACCCTCGGCCTCACTGGAAGCTCTCGGCCTCGTTATAAGGTGTCTTAAAACACTAGTAGCTCTTTTGAGCCTCAATGTCTGGCCGCGAGAGAGTGTTGTTGAGGGCGTTGAGCACGTGTGTGCTGGGAGGGGTAGGGAGAGGAGTCGGGGAGAGAAGAAAACAAAAGAAAAGGTAGCGGAATGATAACGAAAGCAACGAAATGATTAAATGGGATCTGGGAAGCATGGTACAGGGACCATGCATGCATGCACGCATCCATGCACAGACAAGTGGCATGCACAGACAAGTGGCATACACAGACAAGTGGCATGCACAGACAAGTGGCATGCACAGACAAGTGGCATACACAGACAAGTGGCATGCACAGACAAGTGGCATGCACAGACAAGTGGCATACACAGACAAGTGGCATGCACAGACAAGTGGCATGCCCCCCTCACCACGCCCCCCTTCAGCTCAAGACAGGACCCAAACCGACATTGCCAAACTCAGCAACACACACACCTCGGTGTTGGTCAGCTGCTAGCCACTTGCCAGCATAAATACCCACGCATGAGAGTGAGTGTGCACGCATGAGAGTGAGTGTGCACGCATGAGAGTGAGTGTGCGCACATGAGAGTGAGTGTGCGCACATGAGAGTTAGTGTGCGCACATGAGAGTGAGTATGCGCACATGAGAGTGAGTGTGCGCACATGAGAGTGAGTGTGCACGCATGAGAGTGAGTGTGCACGCATGAGAGTGAGTGTGCACGCATGAGAGTGAGTGTGCGCACATGAGAGTGAGTGTGCACGCATGAGAGTGAGTGTGCGCCCATGAGAGTGAGTGTGCACGCAGAAGAGTGAGTGTGCGCACATGAGAGTGAGTGTGCATGCATGAGAGTGAGTGTGCGCACATGAGAGTGAGTATGCGCACATGAGAGTGAGTGTGCGCACATGAGAGTGAGTGTGCACACATGAGAGTGAGTGTGCACGCATGAGAGTGAGTGTGCACGCATGAGAGTGAGTGTGCGCACATGAGAGTGAGTGTGCACGCATGAGAGTGAGTGTGCGCCCATGAGAGTGAGTGTGCACGCATAAGAGTGAGTGTGCGCACATGAGAGTGAGTGTGCACGCATGAGAGTGAGTGTGCACACATGAGAGTGAGTGTACGCACATGAGAGTGAGTGTGCACGCATGAGAGTGAGTGTGAGCGCATGAGAGGGAGTGTGCATGCATGAGAGTGAGTGTGCATGCATGAGAGTGAGTGTGCAGGCACAAGAGTGAGTGTGCACGCATGAGAGTGAGTGTGCACACATGAGAGTGAGTGTGCACGCATGAGAGTGAGTGTGCACGCATGAGAGTGAGTGTGCACGCATGAGAGTGAGTGTGCACGCATGAGAGTGAGTGTGCACGCATGAGAGTGAGTGTGCACGCATGAGAGTGAGTATGCGCACATGAGAGTAAGTGTGCGCACATGAGAGTGAGTGTGCACGCATGAGAGTGAGTGTGCACGCATGAGAGTGAGTGTGCACGCATGAGAGTGAGTGTACGCACATGAGAGTGAGTGTGCACGCATGAGAGTGAGTGTGAGCGCATGAGAGGGAGTGTGCATGCATGAGAGTGAGTGTGCATGCATGAGAGTAAGAGTGCAGGCACAAGAGTGAGTGTGCACGCATGAGAGCGAGTGTGCACGCACGAGTGAGTGTGCGCACATGAGAGTGAGTGTGCACGCATGAGAGTGAGTGTGCACGCATGAGAGTGAGTGTGCATGCATGCGCGTGAGTGACAAGCAAATTCACTCACAAACCAAGTCCATGAGCTGTGTGCGCATACCTCAGGGGGTGCGGACACGGCAGTGGACGCACCAACGAACTGTTCGATCATTCGCAGTTGATGGCTCACGAGTGAGTCGGTCGCCTGGCAGTTGATGGTTCGCGGGCAGGCAGGCTGCAGCACGAGGACTCCTGGAAGCTGCACCAGGCAACATGGCGAGAGGAGGTGGACGGAAAGGTGTTGGAAGGGGTGAGAGCAGGGGGCGATGGGTGATGTGGGCGGAGCTGAGTTTTACCCTTGAGTGATAGCCTAGCTCACACCCGCCAGCAGCAGCAGCATGCCATGCCCAGACCCTCTCCACCTTATGATTCTCCATAACTCAAGCGAACAGACCAACATTGCAAAGTCACGATTGACATCATTCATGAAGCTCCTCTGAAATTGAGTCGTGCTTTGAGTGTAGTAAGTCGATTTTTTGTCGACTCAAAACACGACAGTCATGCTCGACATCATTCATGAAGCGCCTCCAAAATGTGAGTGATTTTCAAAATTGCCTCCAAAAATCACTCATCATTCATGAAGTGCCTCCAAAATTGCCTCAATAATCACATTATCAAGTACCCGAGTCGGGCGAAAACAAGCCACATACCTGGCTAGTGAAAGCCTTGCTGCAGTCAGGCGAACCATGCCTCAGGGGCAGCAGCGTGGATACAGCCACAGCAGGGGAGATTGATGATTACTGCCAGTAGGCCTGCCAGTAGCCCTGCCCCCGCCACAGCCGTGTCGCGATCAACAGGGAAGAATACATAGAAATAGCCACCCAGGAAGCACGGAGCCTCGAGCGGCAGCAGGTGGTGGGAGAGGAGGAGGTGGAGGAGGAGGAGGAGGAGGAGGAGGAGGAGGAGGAGGAGGAGGAGGAGGAGGAGGAGGAGGAGGAGGAGGAGGAGGAGGAGGAGGAGGAGGAGGAGGAGGAGGAGGAGGAGGAGGAGGAGAAGGAGGAGGAGGAGGAGGAGGAGGAGGAGGAGGAGGAGGAGGAGGAGGAGGAGGAGGAGGAGGAGGAGGAGGAGGAGGAGGAGGAGGAGGAGGAGGAGGAGGAGGAGAGTGCTGGAGGAACCGGGCAGGGGAATGAGTTCTGCAGGAATGTTTATTTTGAGGCGCCTCAAAATAAACCTCAATGCAGGTGGCGGCGGGGAGTGGAGGAACCGGGCAGGGGAATGAGTTGTGCAGGAATGGCCAGGCGAGTGAGCAGTGTGATGATGGTATGAGTGAGAAGTGTGATGATGGTATGAGTGAGAAGTGTGATGATGGTATGAGTGCGAAGTGTGATGATGGTATGAGTGAGAAGTGTGATGATGGTATGAGTGCGAAGTGTGATGATGGTATGAGTGAGAAGTGTGATGACGGGGATGAGTGCGGACGTGAGATGATGGCATGCCGCAGAAAGAGGGGTCTGCAAAAGTACCAAGGGGAAAGACGTTACATTGGGATTAGATTCTCCTGGCGATATGAGACGCGGAGGTATGGAGTGGCACTAAGAGCGAGAGAGAGAGAGCGACTTGCCGAACGCGACATGGTGATTAGGGCAGGGCGAGTCAGGGCAGGACAGGGGACGCAGGGGGAGAGGGAGGAGGTGGTGGGTGGGAACCTGGGGGCAGGGGATATGCTGCGACATGGTGATTAGGGCAGGGCAGGTCACGGCAGGGTAGGGTGGCGCAGGAGGGGGGGGGGGGGGGGGGGGGGGGGGGGAGCCTGAGGGCAGGGGATATGCTGCAACATGCACGGCAAGCATGGTAGCAATCCCGGGTCATGCAGGGGCAGGGGCGCCTGAGGGAGCAAGCCTGAGGGCTTTTGAGGCGCCTCAAAAGGAGCCTGAGGGCAGGGGCACGGCGAGCATGGTAGCAATCCTGGGTCACAGGTGACAGCAAGCTGACAAGCTCGCGTGACGGAGCTGCGTGCGTGGCGGAGCGCGGGTCTCGCTGTTGTCCAATTGCCGCCATCGCCTAGGTCAGTAACACGATTTCGCATGAAATGCGAGTCTCATGTTTGCGAATTCCAGCAAGAAGCGAGTCAGCGGCATGACATGGGAGGGTCGATGACATCGAGGTGTGTGCTTCGATGCGACGAGAGAGACATTGGAGAGCTGCCGAGGCTTAATTGCGCGTCCAGAAGCGCTGCGACCGAAGTCTTGGCGAAAGAATGACCGACGAGGTGGATGACCTCGAGGTGCACGGCTTTGGACGGCTACGATGCGACGAGAGACATTGGAGATCGTCTGGGGCTTACTGCGCGTGTGCTCTAAACCATCATCCCCCCCTCTTTGCTCTCCCTTCTCCGCCACGTATTGTTAGCGCATGACGGGATGGGGCACGCTGCAGCGTTGCTACGCGCCGCCGAAATGGAATCGCTCTCGCGGAATTCCTCTGCGCTCTCGCCTTGTTTCTGGGCCCTCCAGCCCTGCCGCCGAGCGGCTTAAGCATTTTTCCACGTCAGCTTGGCAGAGCAAGTCGCGGAGCGCGTCATCTTACGGAGCGCCCTTGGGATGAGCTCACAAGATTATCTGTCACCGTGGCACTTAGCTTGCTGGTCATAGATTGATTCGCGATTGTGGAGGGACTGCTAATGACTGGTGCAAATAGCAAAACACACCGCAAGGATATTTCAGTCTGTACAGATAGCCAGAGTTTGAAATTGTTGCTTGTTCTAATCATATCGGATCAGATTCAAAACAAGATGCGAATTTCTTCCAATTTCGTTGAAGTGGGGTGGAGAAAAGCTACAGTGGTCAACATTTTTAGCCAGACATTGACTGGAATTTCAAGTGTTTGACTCGCGGATGCCCCTGTTTGCTCATTGGTCCATTGCTTACAGTTTGAGTCATCGCGCCGCGCGAAAACCACTGCCCTGGTTGGCGACGCGATGAGGGTACAAGAATGCAGCGGCATTCGGCAACTCATTCATTCAGTCTTCTTCGCTTCCATTCACCGAGGTTGCTTTCCGATTTTGTTACTTCACTTCCAAGCTCCTTTGCAGCTAGATTACTCCTGAACAGCTAGATTCATTTCTCCGTGGGAATATTAACTGCATCCCAGGCAGTACACAAGCACAATGTCGCAGAGAGTCTCATTTTCGTCGAGCCAACGTCGTCGCCGTGACCTGAGCACGGCTCTTCTCCTCCTCTCGCTCGTCCTGCTTTCCTCTCTCCACGCGGCGATGGCCTTCCGCTTTTCCGCGGGGCTCCGCGCGGACAAGCTGCGCGGGATGATGCGCGGATGGGCGCAAGGCGGACGCTCGACAGGCCAGCAGCAACAACGGAGCAGTGGAACGAGCGGAGGCGGAATGGGCGGAGGCGGAATGGGCGGCGGCGGCATGGGTGGCGGCGGGGGAATGGGCAGCGGCGGAATGGGTGGCGGCGGAATGGGCGTAAGCGGAATGGGCGGCGGCGGCATGGGTGGCGGCGGAATGGGCGGAGGAGGAATGGGCGGCGGCGGAATGGGAGCCGGCGGCGGCATGGGTGGCGGCGGATTGGGCGGCGGCGGAATGAGCGGCGGCGGAATGGGCGGAGGCGGAATGGGCGGCGGCGGCATGGGTGGCGGCGAAATGGGTGGCGGCGGAATGGGCGCTAGCGGCGGCATGGGAGGCGACGGAATGGGCGGCGGAGGAATGGGCGGCGGCGGAATGGGCGGAGGCGTAATGGGCGGCGGCGGCGGCATGGGTGGCGACGGAATGGGCGGCGGAGGAATGGGCGGCGGCGGAATGGGCACCGGCGGTGGCATGGGTGGCGGCGGACTGGGCAGCGGCGGAATGGGCGGCGGCGGAATGGGCGGCGGTGGAATGGGCGGCGGTGGAATGGGCGGCGGCGGAATGGGCGGCGGCGGAATGGGCGGCGGTGGAATGGGCGGCGGTGGAATGGGCGGCGGCGGAATGGGCGGCGGCGGAATGGGCGGCGGCATGGGCGGACCTGGGTCCTCTGCTCCCGGATCGCGATCAGTCATGGGTCCTGGGGGGAACATGGGTGGCGGCGGATTGGGCGGAGGCGGAATGGGCGGAGGCAGAATGGGCGGCGGCGAAATGGGCGGAGGCAGAATGGGCGGCGGCGAAATGGGCGGCGGCATGGGTGGCGGCGGCATGGGTGGCGGCGGAATGGGCGGCGGCGGAATGCGGAATGGGCGGCGGCGGAATGGGCGGCGGCGGAATGGGCGGCGGCGGCGGAATGGGCGGCGGTGGAATGGGTGGCGGCGGAATGGGCGACGGCGGAATGGGCGGCGGCATGGGCGGACCTGAGTCCTCTGCTCCCGGATCGCAATCAGTTATGGGTCCTTGGGGGAACATGGGCGGCGGCGGAATGGGAGGCAGAATGGGCGTCGGCGAAATGGGCGGCGGCAGCATGGGTGGCGGCGGCATGGGCGGCGGCGGAATGTGGTGGTGGCGGAATGGGCGGCGGAGGAATGGGAGGCATGGGCGGACCTGGTTCCTCTGCTCCCGGATCACAACCAGCCATGGGTCCTGGGGAGAACATGGGCGGAGGCATGGGCCGCGGGGGAGGAATGGGCGGCGGCGGTATGGGTGGCGGAGGCATGGGCGGCGGAGGCATGGGCGGAGGAGGCATGGGCGGCGGAGGCATGGGCGGTGGAGGCATGGGCGGAGGAGGCATGGGCGGAGGAGGCATGGGCGGCGGAGGCATGGGCGGCGGAGGGATGGGCGGCGGAGGCATGGGCGGGTCAGGGTGGGTAGCTCCAGGGTCGCAGGCAGCACCCGGCCAGGGTGGACCTGGGATGGGCGGAGGGATGGGTGGGCCTGGGGGGAGCAACATGGGAGGTGGTATGGGCGGACCAGGGTCGTATTCTCCTTGATGCGAGACAGGCATCATGGGTCATGGGAGGCATGGATGGTGTCAGTGGAGGAGGCATGGGTGGTGGAATGAGCAGCGGCAATGGGACGCTGAAGGCAAAAAGTAAAAGAACAATCTGTAGGTGGCTTTGCCAAGTGGGTAGTAGGGGAGATTGGCATTTAGTGCAGGTGTCTTGTATCGGTGTCATTGCTGCAACGGCTTGGGTGCAGCAGCACGCGCACTGATGCATGGGGGCTGTCAGTGTAGTGCAGTGCTGCTTCGTCCAAGCTTGTAGCAGCCAGGCAGTGCGAGCAGTAGGATGTATGAATCACAGGTTTTTTGTGTCATCTTGTGGGGGGGATGTGGATTTTTCTCCTCTGTGGCAATTCTTTCTTCGCTTCACAAATCAAGAGTGAAACATGCGTTGTGTGCAGAGTGCTATCATGAATACCATAACTAAAATGTGATGAGTGTAAGCCCATCCGAGCGTTTGGTTGTTTTATTTCAGTCAGCCAAGGGAGCTCTGTGGTCAAGAGAATAATACTAATAAATTTTAGTCCCTCTTGAAAGCAACCATCTGAGAATAATAATATTTAGCGCCCACATGTGTATGCTGTGCAGGGAAGGCATACAGCAAACACAGCATGGTGTATATTGACGAATGCAAACACATTAGAGACTGTACAGCAGTGCGGAAAGCCAAGTCAGTGAAAATGCAGACTTTAAGGGCGTGTTTGATTTTTGAAATTGCCATAGGTTTATGTTGTTTATTCGATTGTAGCATGTGAACACAAAGTGAACATCATCCGACTTTGAGCTATAGCAAGTTCGAACCGCGAGTGTCAAAGGTGCTTGACTCACAATCACACTCGCAAGTGCGAATTTGGAGGTTCGAGATTATAGGGGGTGAACCGAGCCACCTATAGGGTGCGTAGTGTTAAACTGTATTGGTGATTCTAGGCTGTAGTGGGGTAGCTTACATGGGGTACACGCTTTCTAGGGTTTCTATTTGTATCCAAACTCATTCTAGTCATTCTCATTCCTGCTAGTTTCTCACATGGTTTCAGAGCAGGTCCTGCTCCAGGACCGTTGTCGTTAGGGCCCACCAATCGTACCCTGCCCGTAGCGCTGCCCCACCCGTCGCGCTGTCTTGCCCTGCCCTGCCCCGCGTAGCGCTGCCCGCGCTCGCTCTGTCCTGCCTGAGTCGCGCTGCCTGCGCACGCCCTGCCTGCGTCGCGCCCCACCCGTGCACGCCTCTGCCCCGCGTCGCTCTGCCCGAGCGCGCCCTGCCCTGCGTCGCGTCCGCCCGCGCACGCCCCGCCTGCCCGTCGCGCGGCCCGCGCACGTCCGCGTACGCCCCGCCCTGCCCGTCGCGCCGCCCGCGCAAGCCCCCCCCTGCGTCGCGCGGCCCAATTTCCCCCTGCCCGGCCCGTCGCGCGGCCCGCGCACGCCCTGCCCGCCGTCGCGCTGCCCGCGCCCGCCGTCTCCTGCGTCGCGCCACCCCGCGTGCGCCCTGCTTTGCCCGCGCGCGCCCTGCTGACCGCGCGCGGCCTGCTTCTGCCTGCGCGCTGCCTTACCAGCCGCGCCCCACCCCTGCCTGCTCGCGCGCTGCCCTGTGCAGACCCGAGCGCCGCCCCTGCTTGCCGTGTGCCGCCCATACCTGCCGCGCGCCGCTCCTGCTTACATGCGCGCCGCTCTACTGCAGCCCGCGCGCCGCCTTTGCCTGCCAGCGCGCCGCCCTCTGCAGCCCGCGCGCTACTGTTTCTGCTCGTGCGCCACACTGCTCTGCTAAGCTATGGCTTCTCTCGGTGTTCTAGAGTTCGACCCTGAGGGCCGCCCGATCCAGTTCGAGGCGTGGCTTGATGACCTACAGCTGTACCTGCTGTGCGATTCCAAAGACAATGTCTCGCTGTTTGACTACATGTCCGGAGCCTATCTTGCCCCTCCCGACACAGCTGACAGTGCGACTCGCTCACAGTGGCTTACCCGTGACGCTGCCGCTCGCCTAGCCGTTCGCAACCACCTGCCGTTAGCTGAACGCGCTCACTTTGGCCAGCATAAGACTGCTAAAGCCCTGTACGACGCTGTAGCCGCTCGCTACTCCTCCCTTGCCACTGCAGCTCTCGGCCGCCTTATGCTGCCCTACCTGTTTCCCGAGCTGTCCTCCTTTGCCACCGTCGAGGACCTCATTACCAACCCGCGCACTAGCGACGCTCGCTGCCGTGCTGCCCTCCCAGCTGCGTTCGTCACTAAGAACGAGCCCCCGATTTACATCACTCTCTACTTTATTGTCACTCGCCTCCCTGACTCTCTTCGCGCAGTCAGGGACCACGTTCTCGCCCTTCACCCCACAGACCTCACTATCGACCTGCTCGAGAAGCACCTTCTTGCAGCCGAGACTAGCGTGGTCGCTGTAGGTGCTACTCGTGGCGCCCCCCCCTCGCACGCCCTTCTTTGAGGGGTGCTCCCCCTCCCCCTTCTCCCCTCTGTTGCTTCTGCTGCTGATGTCGACTTCCTGCATGCTGAGGAGGTCGGTGCTGCTTCTGCTCCTAGTGGGAAGCGCCGCAGCGGCAATGCAAGGGAGGCAAGAGCGGTGGGTGTGGTGGCGAAGGGGGTGGTGGTGGTGGTGGTGGTGAAGGAGGCGGTGGAGATGGCGGAGGTGGCGGTGGGAGTGGTGTCGGCAGTGGCGGCGGCGGCGGTGGCGGCAGTGCTGGGGGTGGTGGTGGCCGTCGTGGCGGCAGGGGAGTGGTGGCGGCAGTAGTGGCGGCGGAAAGAGTGGTGGCGGTGGCAGTGGTGGTGGTCGAGCTAGAGCCGGTCAGCAGCAGCAGCAGCGTCAGCGTGGGACCCTCACGCCCCAGCAGCTTCATGAGTGGTACGCTCAGCATGGGGCGTCTAGGGGTAGTGCTCGCTACCCGTCATTCGCACTGGTGACCGCACTGGTCAGACGTGTGGGAAGCTTCACACCCAGTATCGCTGTTTCTCCCGCCTAGACAACGCTGGGCGCGAGAAGTATGGCGATGAGGCTAAGATGCCCTGCTGGGCAGACCTGCTTAGGGCCGGCGTTGATATCTTTGATCTAGACTATGATGCTATTCTTGCTGGCATGTATGCTATGCTTACTAGTGCTAAGAGTGACTGTTACTTGTGTGTGCCGCCTGACCCAGGTATAGAGGCTGCTGCTCTAGGTGCTAGTGAGTCTACTCTCTCTGGTACTGCACCTGCTGAGGCCTTGCACACCTTCACGCTTGACTCAGGTGCTTCTCGCTGTTTCTTTCGCGACAATACCACAGTCACACCACTCACTAGACCCGTTGCAGTTTCCCTGGCTGACCCCTCTGGGGGCCCGGTTCTTGCACGTTCCTCCACTGTTCTCCCGTGTCCGGCGGTTCCGTCCGGCTCACTGTCAGGTCTCCACCTCCCCTCGTTCTCGACGAACTTGGTGAGCAACGCAGTCCTTCAGGATGCATGGGTTGATACCTTTACCCCTGGAGGCCAGCGTGTGGCGATCTGCACGTGTGCACGGACTGGCCGTCACCTGGCCACGTTCACCCGTCGGCCTGGGTCGTGTCTGTACACACTGACTACTATAGAGGCTGCAATCCTTGCGTCAAGGGGCGGCAGCGCGCCGCTCCTCACTCCTCCTCGTTTCCCCCGACGACTGCTCCCCTGCAGACTCTTCACATGGACGTGTGGGGCCCAGCCCGCGTCCAGGGCCAGGGCCGCGAGCGGTACTTTCTGCTGGTTGTCGACGACTACTCGCGTTACACCACGGTCTTACCTTTGCACAGCAAGGGTGAGGTCCCTGCTGTTTTGATCCCTTGGATCCGCACAGTACGTATCCAGCTCCGCGAGCGGTTCCGCACGGAACTTCCCGTCCTGAGTCTGCACTCTGACAGAGGTGGTGAGTTCTCCTCCGACCTCTTGCGGGACTTTTGTCGTGGGGAGGGCATCACCCAAACGTTTATTCACGCTTCCGGCCTCTCCGCAGCAGAATGGGATTGCAGAGCGCCGCATTGGCTTAGTCATGGATGTCGCTCGTACCTCCATGATCCATGCGGCTGCTCCCCATTTTCTGTGGCCGTTTACGGTCCGGTACGCTGCACAGCAGCTCAACCTCTGGCCCCGTGTCTCCTTGCCGGAGACCTCGCCTACACTGCGTTGGATGGGGGAGGTTGGCGATGCGTCGCGTTTCCGGGTCTGGGGCTCTCGTGCCTTTGTCCGCGATACCTCCGCGGACAAGCTCTCCTCTCGCGCCATTCCCTGCGTCTTCCTTGGCTTTCCCCCTGATGCGCCTGGCTGGCAGTTTTACCACCCCACCTCGCGTCGTGTTCTGTCCTCTCAGGACGTCACGTTTGACGAGTCGGTTCCCTTTTACTGTCTCTTCCCCTACCGCACTGCCCCCCTCCCCCCCCCCCCCCGCCGCTCTTCCTCGCTCCAGGTCCCCCTCCGGTAGACCCCCTCCCCCCTCAGGGTCCTGCTCCTTCAGGTGTGTCCCAGGAAGACCCACCTCCCTTTGCTGAGCCTGTCGAGGTCACAGGTGACTCAGGTGCTGCTGCGGGTGGTGCTGCTCGGGGTGTTGCGTCAGGGGGTGCTGATCCTGAGCGTGTGGGGTCTGGTAGTGCTGAGCCTGCGGGTGCGGTGCCTGGGGGTGCTGCACGTGCGGGTGCGGAGCTTGCGGGTGTTGAGCCTAGGGGTGCTGCGTTTGGAGGTGCTGAGCTTGCCGGTGCTGAGTCTGGGGGTGCTGAGCCTGAGAGTGCGGAGCCTGGGGGTACTGCGCCTGTGCGTGCGGAGCCTGGGGGTGTTGAGCCTGGTGGTGTTGCATCTGCTGGGGGTTCTCCGAGTGCCTCGCCGCAGCGGTCTAGCCAGCGAGAGCCTCTCTCACCTCAGTAGCTGCACGAGTGGTTTACTCGGCACACACATCTTCGGAGTCGCGCCGCTGGAGCTGGAGGTGCTGGGGCTGGAGCCGCTGGGGTTGGAGGTGCTGCCATTGGAGGCACTGGAGCTGGAGCCGCTGGCGCTGGCGACGCTGGCACTGGAGGAGTTGGAGCTGGTGCCGCTGGAGCTAGAGGTACTGGCGCTGGTGGCGCTGGAGCTGGACGTGCTAGAGCTGGAGCCGCTGACCCTGGAGGAGCTGGAGATGGTGACACTCGAGTTGGAGGTGCTTACGCTGGAGGTGCTGGCGCTGGCGACGCTGGCCCTAGAGGAGCTGGAGCTGGTGCCGCTAGAGCTAGAGGTACTGGCGCTGGTGGCGCTGGAGCTCAAGGTGCTGGAGCTGGAGCCGCTCGAGTTGGGGGCGCTGTACAGCGGCGACCGTTTTTCTTGCCCCCGCCGCAGGTGGACGAGCTACTGCCTGAGTCCGTTCTCCGTCAGGTTCTTAGTCTTCCTTCGTCCACTGCCCTTCCTCCGAACTCTCCGCTGCCTGCCCCCGCTCCTTACACTGAGCAGCAAGCCTCCCTTACCAAGCGTCGTGAGCCTGCGTCTCGTCCTGCCTCCCCTGTTCGCACTGTTCGCCGTGCTCGTCGTGTCCCGCGTCCGCGTCCTCCTCCTGTGCCAGGTACTCACACTATGGCACTTCGTCCTTCCTCTGTTCCGCAGCGTGTCCCTCTGTCGTCTCCTCGAGCGTCCTCTCTGCCTGTCGTTCCGGACCCTGAGTCTGACCGTGTTCGTGCTGCTAGTCCCACTGTCACGCGTCTCCTGGCCCGTCGTTTGAGTCTACTGCTGCGTCTGCCTTAGTTGCTGAGCTTGTGGACTTTGCTGCTGCTTGTCGTCTAGACTACGCTGCTAGTCTTGTTGCTGAGTCTGAGTCTGTCTGTCCTCCGTCCGTCGGGGGTGAGAGTGCTCTTGGCACGGACGTCCTTGAGGACAGGCAGGAGGACTTTGACTGTCTTGCGGCTGTTGTACCGACCCCGCGCTCTTACGCAGAGGCGATTTCGGGTCCCTACTCCTCTCAGTGGCAGACAGCCATGGACGCAGAGATGGCATCCTGGAAGTCCACAGGCACTTACGTCGACGCAGTTCCCCCTCCTGGGGCGAACATAGTCGATGGCATGTGGATCTTCAGGGTGAAGCGGCCGCCGGGTTCTCCGCCTGTCTTCAAGGCTCGTTACGTTGCTTGAGGCTTCAGTCAGCGACAAGGAGTTGACTTCTTCCAGACCTTCTCCCCTACCCCGAAGATGACCACTCTTCGGGTGCTGCTGCACGTTGCCGCCCAGCGTGACTACGGGCTTCAATCTCTAGACTTCAGCACAGCTTTCTTGCAGGGCAGCCTGCACGAGGAGATCTTGCTGCGCCGCCCACCTGGCTTCACTGGGTCGTTTCCTGCAGGTACCCAGTGGAGCCTCCGGCAGCCAGTCTACGGTCTCCGCCAGGCTCCTCGTCAGTGGCACGACACACTGAAGATGACTCTTGTGGCTCTCGGGTTTGCTCCTTCGACTGCTGACCCGTCGCTGTTTCTGCGCACCGACACTTCGCTGCCACCGTTCTACATCCTCGTGTACGTCGACGACTTGGTCTTTGCCACTGCAGACACTGAGGGACTCGCCCTTGTGAAGTCGGAGCTGTAGAAGAGACACACGTGCACAGACCTGGGTGAGCTGCGCAGCCATCTTGGCTTGCAGATCATCCGAGACAGAGCACGCTGCACCATTACCCTGACTCCGTCACACATGGTGCAGCAGGTCCTTCAGCGCTTTGGCTTCCAGTTCTCCTCACCATAGTCCACTCCTCTGCCTACCGGTCACTCGCTCTCAACTCCACCTTCGGACGAGTCCGTAGAGCCGAGTGGCCCGTATCCAGAGCTTGTGGGTTGCCTCATGTACTTGATGACCTGCACTCGACCTAACCTTGCGTACCCTCTTAGCATCCTGGCTCGCTACGTTGCACCTGGGAGACACAGGCGAGAGCACTGGGAGGCTGCTAAGAGGGTGTTACGCTACTTGTGCAGTACATCGGGCATGGGGCTGGTGCTTGGAGGACGGGGTCGAGTTGTCCTCACTGGTCACTCAGACGCCTCTTCGGTTTACGACCTGGCTACGCAACGGTCGTCTCAGGGTTACACCTTCAGCCTTGGTTCCGGCTCTGTTTCTTGGCGGTCTACCCGCTCGTCTTCTGTTCTCAGCTCCAGTTGTGAGGCTGAGATCTACGCAGGAGCCATGGCTGCACAGGAGTTACGTTGGCTCACTTACCTGCTGACTGACTTGGGAGAGCGGCCTAGTTCTCCTCCAGTTCTGTACGTAGACAACAAGGCCGCTATTGCCTTGTGTCAGGAGCACAGACTGGAGCACAGAACGAAGCACATCGCTCTGCGGTACTTTCTGGCTCGAGAGTTGCAGCAGCGTGGCCAGCTTCGTCTTGCTTACGTGGCCACCCGGGCCAACACAGCTGATATCTTCACCAAGGCACTTCCGCCTAGTGACCATCAGCGTGTGTGTACTGCTCTAGGCCTTGTGCCTACGTCTGCTCACTTGCTCACTGCTTGACCTTGCTTGTACTGTAATCTGTCTATATATCTGCATGTTTACTCTTGCTAGGTTGTGATTACTGTATTGTTTGCTTTGCTTTATATAACACTGCATGTGAACTGGCATTGTGTCCATTTGCTTGTGCTCGTAGTGTGTGGTGACTTCGTGATCCACCCTGAGCTTGCTTTGCTTTGCTTGACTGGTCTTGTGACCACTTGTTCTCCCCACTTTGCCTATGGGGGTGTGTTAAAGCCCGAGTACAGCATGGTATTATTCAAGTTCAAGATTCTTGAACTTGAAGTCGCAAAAAAACAGGGTTACCCTTTTGTGACTGAAAGAACTCTCGTGACCCAGGGAAAACTCATTGCGACGGTCACTCCTGATTGGTTACCGTGCCCAGTCGCACAAAAGATCCGAACATCGCCCACCAGGTTGCCACGGAAAACCTCTCACATAACTTGACGACCAAGTAGTACTTTTAATTAACTATAGGAAACGTGCGGCAGGGCGATAAAAGCTAGTTTAGGTAGAACGTTTTTTTTTCCCAGATGCTCTCGTCACTCCCGCTGTCTTGCCAATAGCTGAGCAGCACCCGCTTCTTGCCAAACACGCTATTACCGTACCATTTTCGCATGCCAGCCACGGGACGCCCGTTCTAGCGCACCACAGTCAAGGGTCAGCAAAGGCTGCTGGTTACCTCCAATACAACCCCAGCAACGCAGTGGCCAGACAAACACTTTGCTTCTATGCGCCTTCAGGCGTCATCCTCGCCTCCTCTAGACACCCACACTTAGTATGTGGCGAGTGCATCACCTCATCGCCCGCGATTCTCAAGCGATTCGCGCAAACCCACGTTACGAGCGCTGCTGCATGCGCGCATGCCCTCGTCGCCCCCGCTTCCCCTCGTCGCGCAATGTTTCCCTCATCGCAAGCATTTCCCCTCGTCACACGAGCTTGCCCTCGTCTCCCACGCTCACCCGCGCTTCCCACGCTTACCCGCGTTTCTCGCGCTCTCCAGCGTCAACCGCGCTTACCCGCGTCATCCCCACTTACCCGCGCTTACCCAGTTTCTCGTTGTGACTTGCTAGCGCGATTGGACCCCAAGGCAGCAGCAACCATTGTCGCTGTATTATAGTCGACTAGCAGGGCTCCGCGCGCTGCTTGTCGCCTGGAACGCGGGCTCCGAGTCGCCTGGAACGCGGGCTCCGCGTCGCCTGGAACGCGGGCTCCGCATCACCTGGAATGCGGGCTCCGCGTGAGCTGCTAAAAGCGACGGGCGGGTGCTGCTCGATGCTCGGTGCGAGAGCCGAGTCACGTCCGCTTTCTCCCCCTGTCTAGTCACAACGACTGAATTACACTCCCGGTTTTTCGTTGTGACTTGCTAGCCGTAGTCTCCAGTGTGTCCTCACAAGTGTGATCACGCTTGCACGTTCCTACACTTTGTTGTTGCTAGCTCCTGCGATGGTCGGTATTCTGGGGTAAGGATCGTCCCGAACGCGTTTCTGTTGTGGCGTTGAGTAGGTGGTGTTGATACCCAGCACGTGCGTTGCTCCGTTTTTCTGTTTCGATGCTCGTTGGAAGCGCAAATGTGTGCGACACATTTGTCGCTTTGGGTTGGTGGGATTCGCAGGTTTGGTAAGCGCGAAATATTCACTTGTTTGTGGAGGAAAGTTGTTCTCGCCAAAGGTAGCCAACCGAAATAGGTTTCGCGGATCTCGCATACAGCCTATTTCAAATCCACATAACTTGATAATTTACCATGCTGCCCCCGGGCTTTAAACCGTATTGGTGATTGTAGGCTGTAGTTGGGTAGCTTACATGGGGTACACGCTTTCTAGGGTTTCTATTTGTATCCAAACTCATTCTAGTCATTCTCATTCCTGCTAGTTTTTAACACGTAGGTTACTTGGAGTTGTCTTTTTGACAGCGCGACAAGTCAACAAACGATTCGCGGGCGTCGCTGCTCCTCGTACGTGCCTGAAATCACATACGTTCAGTTCATCATGCAAAATCATGTTTGGGTATATTCTCGACTCTTGTACGTGCCGTTCTGTATGTACGCATTTGGTAGTTTTCAGAATGGCGTCAACATTGACGAAAATTTGTCGCGACATTGGCGAAACTGGTTACCACCTAAAGTTCGACCCATTTTACGAACTCCAAAACAAATCACACACGCACTAATGAGACCAGCAGAACATGCTCGGATCTGCTGCTGGTCCTCAAAAGCTTTCTTCCTCATTATAAGGCACCTCAAGACACCAATAGCTCTCTTCTGCTTCGATGTCTGGCCAGGAGAGAGTGTAGTTGAGGGCGTTGAGTGTGAGCTGGAAGGGGGTAAGGAGAAGAAGAGGGGAGCAAGAGATTAAGAAGAGAAGAAAGAGAACCGAATGGCAAATGAGAGCAATGGGTTGATTGAGGGGGAGTCGAGGGGGGGAAAGAGGAGAGGTATGGGAAATATTAACAAGTTCTCATAAGCATTAAGGTGGATGACTTGGGTTGTCAGCCAGGATGACAGGAAAGGAAGGAGGGGGCACCAATCACAAGAGAAAATAGAGACCATGGGAGGAGCTTCAGGAAGAGAGAGAATGCGCATAAGAGCGCAAGGAGTCAGACAGGTGAAAGGAGAAAGAGAAGGAGGTTTGAAGGGGAGAAGGCACATGGATGATAGAATATGTGGAGACGAGAGCAGGGAGTGCATCTTCTAAGGACCAGGTGGGTGCTTCATTTGCACGTCTCGTGGCCTGAGTGGAGTCTAAGGAACAATATATACCTCCAAGTCAGACCCACAGCTTTGCAAAATGACGATGGTGCTGGTGGGCACAATAACTCGACGTGTTACTGACGATGGTAGTTCTATCATGTTTGTTTCAACACACCATGCTCGTTTCATCTCACTGTGATAGTTACATCTCACCGTGCTCGTTTCATCTCACCACGCTTGTTTCATCTCACCGTGCTCGTTTCATCTCAGTGCGATCGTTTTATCTCACTGTGCTCATTTCATCTCACAGTGCTCGTTTCATCTCACCGTGCTCGTTTCATCTCACCGTGGTCATCTCATCATCCAGTGGCCCCCCATGGTACGACACCGTCAACACATCCTTCGCCACCACGCCCTGCATGCACATAAATGGGAGATTGGTGGTGATGAATATTGTGTGGGATGTGAAGAGTGGTACAAGTCGGTGAACACATCCTTCGCCATGAGCGAAAGATGTGGTGATCATTGTGTGGGATGTGCAGCATAGCATGGTACGACACGGTGAACATGATCAGGTGTCAGAGTGGGGTGACAATCAGCCACATACCTGGCTGGTGGGACACGTCACACGTCTCCGCTGCCAGGCGAACCACTTCTCAGCAGCAGCAGCAGCAGCAGCAGCAGCAGCAGCAGCAGCAGCAGCCGCGATAGAGTCACAGCAGCAAACCATCACTGCGAGCAGCAGCCCTGATCCCGCCACAGCCACTCCAGCCACTCAAGGAATACCCGCGACCAGCTTGGAGGAATCAGTAGAAACTACCAGCCGGGGAGCACTGAGCTTGGAGCGGCAGCAGATGCGATAGCAGGTGGTGGTGAGAGAGGAGGAAGGGAGGCTTGAGGACCCACAGGGTGGTGGAGTCGTGAGCAGAGGAAAGGCTGGGTGCTGGGTGCTGGGTGCTGGGAGGCTGGGAGGCTGGGGAGCGTTAGGGCGGCCGGATGGCTAGGGCTTGGCTTGGCTGAGCTTGGTGGGAAAAGGAAGTGGTGCGGCTGGAGTGGGAGCGATGGGCATACAGGTTAAGAGCGACCTCAGAGCAGAGCAGAGCTGAGCTGAGCTGAGCAGAGCAGAGCAGAGCAGAGCAGAGCGGAGCAGAGCAGAGCGGAGCAGAGCAGAGCAGAGCGGAGAAGAGAAGAGCGGAGCAGAGCGGAGCGGAGCAGAGAAGAGTGGAGCAGAGCGGAGCGGAGCAGGGCAGTACGGGGGGGCATGTTGCAGAGCAGACGGCATGATGGCGGAGCTGAGCTCGACAGCTGCTCGGTATTTCCGCCATCGTTGGACTTGGTAGCGCGCTACCATGGCAACCAGCCTTTACGGCAGGCCGCGCCGCGTCGCGACGCTGCACCTTCTACGGCGGCTGTGCGAGGAAAGCGACCGCGGTAGTGACAATTGCCGAGCTTAAATCACACGCTACCACGGCAGGCCTGTTAAACTCATACACTATAGTCTGTGTAGGCTGTAGTGGGGTAGCTCATATGGGGTACAACACTTTAGGGTTTGGTACTTGTACTCCTCATGCTGCTCAATGCAATCATTCTCGTTCTAGTTTTCACATGGTATCGAGCAGGTTCCCTCGTGGGAACTGTTCCTAGGGCCCACCGTTTTTTTTTTTTCCTGCCCGGAGCGCCCTCAGTGTCAGAGGTTGTCAGAGGTCCACTGGTGATCCCCGATTGATCCTAGGGAAGGGTTACAGGCACGTTGGTCTGGGGGGTTATGGGCGCACTCACCCGCTACACAAACAAGCCCTTTTATCCCAGTGGTTAGTGGCTGGGATTCTGACATGGTATCAGAGCGAAGGTCTCGGGTTCGAATCCCGGTGTGTGCACCTCGGGCATCCCAGTGCGGGGGGGTGTCAGAGGTCCACTGGTGATCCCCGATTGATCCTAGGGAAGGGTTACAGGCACGTTGGTCTGGGGGGTTATGAGCGCACTCACCCGCTACACAAACAAGCCCTTTTATCCCAGTGGTTAGTGGCTGGGATTCTGACACTCAGCCCCTGCCCGAGTCGCGCTCCCCTCTCACGGCCCCTAGCGGCCCCGTCGCGCCGCCCTTGCGGCCCCGCCGCGCCGCCCTTGCGGCCTCGTCACGCCGCCCTCGCGGCCCCGTCGCGCCGCCCTTGCGGCCCCTTCGCGCCGCCCTCGCGGCCCCTTCTCGCCGCCCTCGCGGCCTCGTCGCCCCACCCTCGCGGCCCCGGCGCCGCTCTTACCGGCCCCGGCGCCGCCACTGCTGGCCCCGTCGCCCTACCCTCGCGACCCCGCGGCCCCACACTCGCGGCCCCGGCGCCGCCCCCCCTCGCGGCTTCGTCGCAGCCGCCCGCGACCCCACCGCCGCCCTTCGCGGCCCCGTCGCCACACCCGTGCGACCCCGGCGCCGCCCTTCGCGGCCCCGTCGCCACACCTCCGCGGCCCGGTCGCCACCCTTCGTGGCCCCGCCGCCGCCCTTCAGCAGCCCTGCCGCCGTCCCTTCAGCGGCCCTGCCGCCCTTCACGGCCCCGCCGTCACCAACGAGCCGCCGACGCCGCCGAGCCGCCGTTGCCGCCGAGCTGCTGGGCCGCCGAGCCGCCATTGCCGCCGAGCAGCCGTTGCCGCCGTTGCCGCCGAGCTGCCGAGCCGCTGTGCCGCCGTTGCCGCTGTTGCCGCCGAGCAGCCGTCGTCGCCGTTGCCGCCGTTGCCGCCGAGCCGCCGAGCCGCCGTTACTGCCGTCGCGGCCCTGTTCCTGCCGGCGAGCCTCGGTCCTTCTCGCCTGCCCGGTAAGAGCAGCGCCTCCACCACTGCACTGCCCTTGCCTGCTGCTCGCGCTGCTAGTCTACTGCTGTCATGGCTACCCCTAGTGTCCTCACTTTTGATGCTGAGGGTCGGGCCATTGACTTTGACGTCTGGGTAGATGACCTGCAGCTTTTCCTGCTGAGCGATAGGGCAGACGGTCTCTCCCTCTTTGACCTCACTTCTGGTGCCTCTCCTGCACCTGCTGCTGATGCTGACGCCACTGTTCGCTCACAGTGGGCCACGCGCGATGCTGCTGCCCGCCTTGCTGTGCGCCGCCACTTGCCGACCGCTGAGCGTGCGCACTTTAGCCAGTACAAGAGTGCTAAGACCTTGTACGACGCTGTAGTTGCGCGCTACTCTTCCCCTGCCACTGCTGCACTTAGCCGCCTCATCCTACCGTACCTCTTCCCTGACCTCGCCGCTTTTCCCACTGTCGCTGACCTCATTACGCACCTTCGCACTAGTGACACTCGCTACCGCGCTGCGCTTCCTGCTGAGTTCTGCGCCAAGAACCCCCCCCCCCCATGTACATCACCCTCTACTACATAGTCACCCGGCTCCCTGACACCCTTCGCCCGGTTAGGGACCACTTCCTCTCTGTTTGCCCCACCACCCTCACCGTTGACCTCCTCGAGGAGCGCCTTCTAGCGGCAGAGAAGAGCATAGTCGCTGTAGGAGCCTCTCGTGGTGACCCTCGTACCCCTGTCTTTGAGGGGTGCTCCCCCTCTCCCCTCCTGCCCTCTGTTGCCTCTGCTGCTGCGGCCGACCTCGTTGGTCTTGAGTCGGTCGCTGCGGCGTCTGCCCCTAGCGGGAGACGCCGCCCTGGCAAGGGCAAGGGGGGCAAGGGTGCTGGAGGAGCTGGCGGGGGCGGTGGAGGCGGAGGTGGAGGTGGTGGAGGGGGTGGGTGTGGCGGTGGGGGTAGTGGCGGGGGTGGGGGCGTCAGTGGCGGCAGTGGAGGCGGAGGCGGAGGCGGCGGTGGCGGTGGGAGCGGAGGTGGCGGAGGTGGCGGTAGTGGAGGAGGTAGCGGCGGAGGAGGTGGAGCTGGTCGGGGTGGCGCTGCACAGAGGGTTGGCTCCGGTGGTGGTCAGCGCCAGCAGCAGCAGCAGCGCGCTCATGAGATCCCCCCCCCCAGCAGCTTCGTGAGTGGTACACTGCTCGTCAGCGGGGCGGGGGTGCTGGCCCCTGTACCTACGTTCTCCGTACCGGCGACCGAGTGGGTGAGCAGTGTGGGGGAGCGCACTCCACCCAGCGCTGCTTCGGCCGTCTGACGGACGCGTGGCGTCACCAGTTCCCCGACGCTACTGAGATCCCTCGCTGGGGCGAGCTGTCTAGGGCGGGTGTTGCGATCTTTGATCTTGATTATGATGCTATTCTTGCTGCCATGTATGCTGTGACTATTAGTGATGAGGGTGACTGTTACCGGTGTTTTCCGCCTGACCCAGGCATAGAGGCTGCTGCGCTAGGTACTTGTGAGGCTGCTGCTCTAGGTGCCAGTGCGTCTGCCGCCCCAGGTGCCGGTGAGTCTGCGCTCTCAGGTACTGCGTCGTCTCCGGACACCCACACCTTCACCCTTGACTCGGGTGCTTCCCGCTCCTTCTTTCGAGACTGCACCACTCTCACGCCACTCAGTCGGCCCGTTGCAGTCTCCCTGGCAGACCCCTCTGGGGGTCCTGTCCTTGCCCACTACTCCACTGTCCTACCGTGTCCAGCGGTCCCGTCTGGCTCCCTGTCGGGTCTTTACCTCCCCTCGTTCTCTACGAACTTGGTGGCGGGTGCTGACCTACAGGATGGGGGGGTTGACCAGTTCACCCCTGCTCGTCAGCGGGTGACTCACTGCACGTGTGCAGACACGGGCCGACACTTGGCCACGTTTACCCGTCGGCCGGGGTCGAGCCTGTACACACTGACTACTGAGTCTCCTCCAGTCACTGAGTCTGCTCAGGTAGCAGCGTCGGGTCAGGTGTTTGCTGCGGCGTCCAGGTCTGGTCCTGAGTCTGCCCCCTGCTCGTGTCGTCTCCTGTCCCACCGGACTCTCCTCTGGCACCACCGCCTTGGTCACCCCTCCCTGCCCCGTCTTCGAGGCGTGGCTTCCCGTCTTCTTGTCTCTGGCCTCCCCCGGTCCCTCCCTCCCCTCCCTCCGGGGCCTGCCCCCACCTGCGTTCCCTGCGTCGAGGGGCGGCAGCGCGCTGCCCCTCACTCCTCCGAGTTTCCTCCGACAGAGGCTCCGCTGCAGACGCTTCACATGGACGTGTGGGGCCCAGCCCGCGTCCGTGGACAGGGTCACGAGCGTTACTTCCTGCTGGTGGTTGACGACTACTCGCGTTACACCACAGTCTTCCCCTTGCGCAGCAAGGGTGACGTCACTGAGGTGTTGATCGCCTGGATCCGCGCAGCTCGTCTCCAGCTCCGGGAGAGTTTCGGCTCTGACTTTCCTGTTCTGCGTCTGCACTCCGACAGAGGCGGAGAGTTCTCCTCTGACCTTCTGCGGGCCTTCTGTCGTGCACGAGGCATCCGCCAGACCTTCACGCTTCCGGACTCTCCACAGCAAAATGGGATTGCTGAGCGCCGCATTGGCATGATCATGGACGTCGCTCGTACGTCCATGGTCCATGCGGCTGCCCCCCATTTTCTGTGGCCGTTTGCGGTTCAGTACGCGGCGCATCAGATCAACCTTCACCCCCGGGTCTCCAGGCCGGAGACCTCCCCTGCTTTACTGTGGACGGGGAAGGTTGGCGATGCGTCTGCGTTCCGTGTCTGGGGATCTCGGGCGTTTGTCCGCGACTTGTCTGCGGACAAGCTGTCCTCTCGTGCTGTTCCCTGCGTCTTCCTTGGCTTCCCTCCTGACGCGCCAGGCTGGCAGTTCTACCACCCCACCTCGCGCCGTGTTCTGTCCTCCCAGGACGTCACCTTTGACGAGTCGGTTCCCTACTACCGTCTCTTCCCCTACCGCACTGCGTCCCTCCCTCCCCCGCCGCTCTTCCTTACGCCAGGTCCCCCTCCGGTAGACCCCCTCCCCCCTCAGGGTCCTGCTCCCTCAGGTGTGTCCCAGGTAGATGCAGTCGAGCCTGTCGAGGTAGCTGTTGACTCTGGTGCTGCTAGGGGTGCTGAGCCTGGGGGTGCTGGGTCTGGGGGTGCTGCGCCTGGGGGTGCTGAGCCTGGGGGTGCTGCGCCTGGGGGTGCTGAGCCTGGGGGTGCTGCGCCTGGGGGTGCTGAGCCTGGGGGTGCTGAGCCTGGGGGTGCTGAGCCTGGGGGTGCTGGGCCTGGGGGTGCTGTGTCTCGAAGTACGGCGCCTGAGGGTGCTGGGCCTGCTCGTGAGGCGTCTGGTGGTGCTGGGCCTGGCGGTGCTTCGGGTGCTTCGTCCCGGCGGGAGCTGCTCTCTCCACAGGAGCTGCGTGAGTGGTTCGCCCGGCGCTGGCGGCGTGCTGCTGGAGCTGGTGGTGCTGCGGACGCTGGAGGTTCTGCTGCTGCTGAGGGTGCTGGTGCAGAGGGTCCCAGAGGTGCTCGTACAGGGTGTACTGGAGCTGCTGGGCCTACGGGTGCTCCTCCTGCTGGAGCTGGTGGTGCTACTGATACTATTGGCGCTGGTGCTGCTGGTGCTCCTGGAGCTGGAGCTGCTGCGTCTTCGGGTGGTTTGCCTGGAGCTGGAGCTACTGGGGGTGTTGGCGCTGGAGGTGCTACTGGCGCTGGTGCTGCTGAGGGTGCTGGAGTTGGAGCTGCTGGAGCTGGGGGTCCTCCTGGTGCTGGTGCTCCCGTTGGGGGTGCTGGTGCTGTTCCTGCTGGCACTGGTGGCGCTGCGCGGCCGCGGCCGTACTTCGTTCCGCTCCTTGAGCAGGTTCTTGGTCTTCCGTCCTCTCTTGGTCCTGCTCCTCCCTTAGCGTGTCCGCCTCCTGTCCAGACTGAGTCACAGTTACAGCCGGCCTCCCCGCTTCCTTCTCCTTCTCCCTACACTGGTCCTACTGGAGGTCTTGCTGAGCGTCGTGAGCCTGCGTCTCGCCCTGCGTCGCCTGTCCGTGCTGCTCGCACTAGTGGTCGTGGTTCGCGTCAGCGTCCTCCCCCTGTCCCCGGCACGCACCGGATGTCTCTGCGTCCTTCCACTGCTCCGCTGCGTGCCCCTTTGCCCTCTCCTCCCGCGTCCTCTCTTCCTGAGCTTCCTGACCCTGAGTCGGACTCCCTTCGTGCTGCGCGTCCTACTGTCACACGTCTCCTTGCTACTGTCGTCACTGACCCTTCCTTTGAGTCTACTGCTGCGTCTGCCCTCGTTGCTGAGCTTGTCGACTTCGCTGCTCGCTGTCGCCTAGACTACGCTGCCAGTCTCGTCGCTGAGTCTGAGTCTGTCTGTCCTCCGTCCGTCGGGGGTGAGTGTGCTCTTGGCACGGACGTCCTTGAGGACAGGCAGGAGGAGTTCCAGTGCTTGGCTGCTGCTTCACCTCATCTCGTGTCCATGCTGCTTGCCCCTGAGGGAGACCCGGATGCACTTGACATCCCGACTCCGCGCTCTTACGCGGAGGCGATAGAGGGTCCCTACTCCTCTCAGTGGCAGGCAGCCATGGACGCAGAGATGGCTTCCTGGAAGTCCACAGGCACCTACGTTGACGAGGTTCCCCCGCCTGGGGCGAACATCGTCAGTGGCATGTGGATTTTCAGGGTGAAGCGGCCGCCGGGTTCTCCGCCTGTCTTCAAGGCGCGTTACGTGGCTCGTGGCTTCAGTCAGCGGCAGGGAGTTGACTACTTTCAGACCTTCTCTCCCACCCCGAAGATGACCACTCTTCGGGTACTGCTGCACATAGCCGCTCACCGAGACTACGAGCTGCACTCTCTTGACTTCAGCACTGCTTTCTTGCAGGGCAGCCTGCACGAGGAGATCTGGCTGCGCCGCCCACCTGGCTTCACTGGGACTTTTCCTCCTGGCACCCAGTGGAGCCTCCGGCGGCCAGTCTACGGTCTCCGCCAGGCACCTCGTGAGTGGCACGACACACTGAGGACTACACTTGCGGCTCTTGGGTTTGCTCCTTCTACTGCCGACCCGTCGCTGTTTCTGCGCACCGACTCTTCTTTGCCGTCGTTCTACATCCTCGTGTACGTCGACGACTTGGTCTTTGCTACAGCTGACACTGCTGGACTTGCCTACGTGAAGTCCGAGCTGCAGAAGAGACACACGTGCACAGACCTGGGTGAACTGCGCAGCTACCTTGGCTTGCAGATCACCCGGGACAGAGCACACCGCACCATCATCCTGACTCAGTCACACATGGTGCAGCAGGTCCTTCAGCGCTTCGGCTTCACGTACTCCTCGCCTCAGGCCACTCCTCTGCCTACACGCCACTCGCTCTCAGCTCTGCCTTCGGATGAGTCTGTAGAGTCGAGTGGCCCGTACCCAGAGCTTGTTGGCTGCCTCATGTACCTGATGACCTGCACTCGACCTGACCTTGCATACCCTCTTAGCATTCTGGCACGCTATGTTGCTCCTGGGAGACACAGACCAGAGCACATGGCTGCAGCGAAGAGGGTGTTGCGCTACTTGTGCAGTACGTCGGGCATGGGGCTTGTGCTTGGAGGGCAGAGTCCAGTGGTCCTCACTGGTCACGCAGACGCTTCTTGGGCAGACGACCAGGCTACGCAGCGGTCGTCACAGGGTTACACCTTCAGCCTTGGTTCCGGCTCTGTTTCGTGGCGGTCTACCCGCTCGTCTTCTGTTCTCGGCTCCAGTTGTGAGGCTGAGATCTACGCAGGGGCCATGGCTGCACAGGAGCTACGCTGGCTCACCTACCTGCTGACTGACCTGGGAGAGCCGCCTCGTTCTCCTCCAGTGCTGTACGTAGACAACAAGGCCATGCTGGCCTTGTGTCGGGAGCACAGACTGGAGCACAGAACGAAGCACATCGCTCTTCGCTACTTCCTTGCTCGTGAGCTGCAGCAGCGTGGTCAGCTGCGCCTTGCTTACGTGGCCTCTCAGGCCAACACTGCTGATATCTTCACTAAGGCACTCGCGCCTTGTGATCATCAGCGCTTCTGCACTCTGTTAGGTCTTGTGCCTACCTTGCCTCACTTGCTTACTTCTTGACCTTGCTTGTACTGTTACATATATATACCTGCCCTTGCTTGTTTAGCGTTATATATATGTAATCTTGCATGTGAACTGGCCTTGTGGCCTTGAACTTGTGCTCAGACTGTGTGGTGACGTTGTGATCCACCCTGAGCTTGCCTTGCCTTGCTTTGCTTGACTGGTCTTGTGACCCCTTGTTCTCCCCCACTTTGCCTATGGGGGTGTGTTAAACTCATACACTATAGTCTGTGTAGGCTGTAGTGGGGTAGCTCATATGGGGTACAACACTTTAGGGTTTGGTACTTGTACTCCTCATGCTGCTCAATGCAATCATTCTCGTTCTAGTTTTCACAAGGCCGCGTCGCATCACGAGCAATAAGATCTAGGTGGTGACGAGCAGATATGCAAGGGACGAAGATTCGCGACGAGGGTGAGCGAAACGACTCGTGGGGACTTCATACGGAATCCGATTGCCACTCCTGCCACGTCGTCGCCCGTCGCCCGTCGCACGTGACGGCTGCTGTGACGAAGTGACTTTCGAATCGACTCAAAAGTCACCTCGATTGCCCGTCCTGTCACGCCGCCGCCCGTCGCCCGTGATGGCTGCCGTAAGAACTTGCTCGGCGTGATGTCGCCCGCCGTCATCGATGTCACAAGAGGATCCCGCCGCGCGTGAAACCACCAAGCGGAGGAGGTGCTGCGCCACAAAAGTCCTCTGCGTGCTCGCCTTTTTCCAAACCTCTGCCATGCCATCCTATGGCCTGTGGCCTCATGTTTACCATGTTACACTCGGATCGCGACATCTCTCGTGGCGCTGCTGTGGCGCTCTGCATTGTCGGACACAATCAGGTCATGGATATATCCGCGATTATGGAAGCATGACAGCTGATGACAATAGTTTATAATTCACAAAAATACTAGTTTTCATCCATATCGTACTAACAATAGTTGTTAATATCTCAACTGATGTTGGATTGTGCTCTTGTCTGCACACTTGCCATCTTGGTACTTCAACGCAAAATCATAGAATGCCCAAGCCTGGATTAGAACAAACAATAGATAACAACATGATACTGTAGGTTACCAAGTAGGTGCAGGTCGATAGTCACACCGCTAGGCACATTGCGCAGGTGCCAGGTAAAACACGTGTCGAAGGTTTCGCTATCCGTGCGCCGTAGAGCAAGTGAACATGAACTTTATGAGAAGGCATTGTTGTACGCCGCAGGGGCCGACTCTACCGGGCACGAAGACGAGGAGTTAGGAGGATCGAAGCGACACCAGCAACCGTCAGATCAAGACCGATGCAGGCAGAAACATTTGAAATGAAAAGAGCGGGAACAGGTTTGAAACGGGTTCCTACGACGCACGGTTTGAAGTCCGAAGTAATAAGGGAATGTACCCCTTAGAGTATATGGCTAGTCTACGTCGTTTCGCATTCCTTCTCGCTAACTAAGTCGTGTCTAGGATTGTAACATGCAGGTCGACGTTCGCATCGCTAGGCACATTGCGCAGGTGCCTGGTAGAACACGTGTCGACGATTTTGTTAGGTGCTAACCGCCGAGCACGTGAAGCTGTTCCGAAGGTCGAACTTCGCCTAATCCTCCTGTGCATAGTTTCGCACACCTCCGCAGAGTTTCGCACACCTCTGCTAATTCGATCGATCAGTTCGATGCTGCTCGGTCGAACAGCGTTCGCCGAGCAGAGATCGTCGACCAGAGCTCTTTGATCATAATTCCTCGTCAGGCCTCGTCGACCGGAACATCTCGAAGATCTTCGTCGATCGCTGTTTTCGACCAGCAATGCCCGTGAACGATGTCGACCAGATTCCGTCGAGCAGCAACTTCCGTCGAATTGCAAAAACACACTTCTTTGACCAATCCGTCGTGAACTTCTCGACGGCGAGATCGGCTGCGCCCATGCGAGGGCGTGGCCTTTTTTTTCGGCATATGCGACAATGAAATTGCTTCTGTCGACTGTCCACGTTCACGACGTGTATTAACGTATAGTAAACTCGAGCATTGCTAAATAGTTATGTGATTGTTACTCTCGATGCTACAAAGAGAAGTGAAACGGGGTGCTGGCGACGGTAGATATGCTTGGTCGAGAGAAATAAACTTCTCGTCCGTTTTTCTCTTTCCGTCGAAATCTTTCATTTTAAATAATGGGGACAATGCACAACTCGACAACTTCCGCGTCGAATGCAGTTGTTAACTTACCAAAATCTAGAAACGGCCTCTGCTGTCTATAATCAATTTTATCGAGCAAAACGTCTCGGGATATATTTTTTTCCCGAGTGTAAAATCGGAACCTTATCGAATGAGTTTCTCTGTTCGTAATGCAGTACTCTTTCGACAAAAAAAATGAAATTGTAAGGGCAATGATTTTCAACCTGCTCTGTCGAACTGTCACTTACCGCAACACTTTTTGAAACCATATGATAGTTTTTTTACCTTTTCAACAAAGTACAAACACGGACAAAAAGAAACCACGGAAACGTTTAGCAAAATACCGAAGTCTTGTCGAACATACCGGAAGCTCCTCTTGTCGAGCATCACATTCGACTTTCCGTCGAAGCAAAAATTTTGCCGCGAATTTGAAATGTTGTCAAAGGCAATACACCCTTTAATGCCAGCTATGGATCTGTCGAAGACAGAAAATCGCAGAACTAAGGTAGAAACGCCCTGTCGAAGAATGAGGTGCTGACGAAAATGTAAAATAAACCCTCTCCGTCGAAAGCGTTGAGCTGAAATACCCTTTCCGTTGAAAACGGTGAGCTGAAATACCCTTTCTGTCGAAAACGGTGAGCTGAAATACCCTTTCCGTCGAAAACCAGAAGTTGTGCAGAGAAGTAGCATATGCAGAGTGATTTTTACTTGCTTAAATTGACACAAAAGTGAGTTGTAACTTTATATAAGTGAGTTGTAACAATTGACCGCGATCGCGAGTGGTCAATGTCCGTCGAGCAATGCTCGATAAATGTCCGCCAATTTCCATTGTTACGGCTGACATATATATTGTCATAAGAATACGACATTGAACCCGCGGGTTTCAAAGGGTTTTTTGGCCTGGTCAGCCATGAATTTCTAGGGGCCCTGAGGGATTCCGTGGGTTTTTCAAATTACCTCGAATGCCATTTGTGCCCGGGCGGGCGGGGCGGCACCTGCTGACGTCACCTGTCCCTATATAATATGCAGTTTACCCCGAACCTCTCAATGGAGGGTACTGTAGCACACTCCGTTTCCTTGCAGCTTGGTTGGGATGTGTGACTCCGGTTTGCTTCAAATCGGACCAGATGGCTCATTTGATTGGGTATGATTTCCTACTTTCCTCCTTGGCTAATGTAAATCTGTACTGGCTTTCTGAACAAGATGTAACCCGTCCTACCGCTTGCGTGCATGACACAAGCAAAGCCGAGGGTGTCACACATACCACTCTTAAAGGACGAACACGCCCTGGACCGGACGTTGTCCCGCCCCACCCAAAACCAGCAACCATGACACTACCAACGGTGGGAAGCTCCGTTCTGGTCAGGTCCTTTGGTTTTCATCTCCTGTTTGATGAGAATTCTATATGAAGTACCGGCACTGCTCTTTCTCGATCTTATATTGCTCTCTCTAATCAGGATCGTCTCCAAAGGCATCGCTTCCCAAGCTTAGTATTGGTTGTCAATCAGACGTCGCAGAAGCCAGAGCTTTAGCTCGTCATTTTCGGGACGCGCGAGAATGTCTGCAAAGATCCATCGTCTTCCTGACCATGTTCTTGTCATGATCTTCTGGCATTCCGACGCTTTCCAGCCGATCTCATCGTTGATCCTCTCGGATTACGCTGGTAGGGAGGAAAACGAAGTTTCAGAGCCTGACCCGCATTTCTCGATGCCTTCTTCATCTGCCGATGTCGCTCACGTTCTCCTTATTGCCTCCGTATGCCGTCGCTGGCGGGAGCTCGCACACGAATCCGTCACAAAGCTGCTCGTTTCACAAAATCGTCTGGTGTCTCGCGAGTACCTCAAACGCGTTCTGGTGTCCTTCCCGAACCTCACTCGCCTGCACTTGAGCAACGGAAGCATGGAAACGATCGACGACGAATTTCTGGCATTTCTCAGCTTTTCGTCACCAAACCTAACCGCTCTTCATGTCGGCACAGGCATTGCTGCATACGACGACCTTGAGTGTGACGAGGAGGAGGACATGGACTACTATGACGAATTAGATCACCCCGTCACGACAGCTGGGCTGGACATTCTCTTCCGCCATTGTAGCCGCTTGGAGCGGTTATCACTCCAGTGCCTCCATTGGACCACAAAGCTTCCGCCTTCGTTATTCCTGTTGACGCGCCTGCATACGCTGTCACTGGGAGAGGTTATGCCTTTGGTGGATCCCAACTTCTCGAATCTCACTTCTCTCACGAAGCATTCTATTCAAAAGCTGGACATGCGGTTACATCAGATGTCGCCGTTAACTCGCCTTCCGAATCTGACCAGCCTGTTCTTCCCAGGAGAGTCATACTTTCACAGTTTCGAGGGGGATTTCTCATTTGGTCAACTGACAGCTCTTCGTTCGCTGGGATTCGTGCGGGGTTCAACGGACTTCCCCTCGATGTTTCCATCAGATTCACCGTGTTTCCGTCTTCAACGTCTACTGCTAAGCAATGTACCGAATATCCCGCCTGAGGAGCTTGGAGAGCGGTTCCCGGTACTTCGCGAGCTCTGTCTTTCCGGTGGTCGTTAATTTACCGTGTTACTCATACCAGATTCTCTCACAAACCTCATCACCTTGGAAGTTCTAACCATTTTCAACAATAGTGTATCCAGCCTGCCCGAGAATTTTGGAGATTTTCCAGGGCTGAAGTCCTTGGCATTGAAAAGCTACTCGTTGAAGAGACTCCCCGATCCTATTGGGTTACTTACAGGGCTTCAAAAGCTATCTTTGGACCATGTGGACATTGACACCCTCCCCGCAACGATTTCCTGCTTGGCTGCTCTTGAATCGTTGAGCATCGCGGGATCAAGGTTGACGGCAATTTTGGAGGAGATAGCCTGGGTCACAGGTGACAGCAAGCTGACAAGCTCGCGTAACGGAGCTTTTGAGGCGCCTTAGAAGGAGCCTGAGGGCAGGGGCACTGCAAGCATGGTAGCAATCCTGGGTCACAGGTGACAGCAAGCTGACAAGCTCGCGTGACGAAGCTTTTGAGGCGCCTCAAAAGGCGCCTCAAAAGGGGTCACGCAGGGGGCAGGGGGGTTGGGAGCCTGAGGGTTTTTTAGGCGCCTCAGAAGGAGCCTGAGGGCAGGGACACGGCAACGGCAAGCATAATTGCAATCCTGGGTCACAGGTGACAGCAAGCTGACAAGCTCGCGTGACGGAGCTACGTGTGTGGCGGAGCGCGGGGCACGCTGTTGTCCAATTGCCGCCATCGCCTAGGTCAGTAACACGATTTCGCATGCAATGCGAGTCTCATGTTTGCGAATTCCAGCAAGAAGCGAGTCAGCGGCATGACATGGGAGGGTCGATGACATCGAGGTGTGTGCTTCGATGCGACGAGAGAGACATTGGAGAGCTGCCGAGGCTTATTGCGCGTCCAGAAGCGCTGCGACCGAAGTCTTGGCGAAAGAACGACCGACGAGGTGGATGACCTCGAGATGCACGGCTTTGGACGGCTACGATGCGACGAGAGACATTGGAGATCGTCTGAGGCTTACTGAACGTGCGCTCTAAACCATCGTCCCCCCCTCTTTGCTCTCCCTTCTCTACCGCGTATTGTTAGCGCATGACGGGATGGGGCACACTGCAGCGTTGCTACGCAATGCTGAAATGGAATCGCTCTCGCGGAATTCCTCTGCGCTCTCGCCTTGTTTCTGGGCCCTCCAGCCATGCCGTCAAGCGGCTTCGGCATTTTGCCATGTCAGCTTGGTAGAGCAAGTCGCGGAGCGGGTCATCTTACGGAGCGCCCTTGGGATGAGCTCACCAGATTGTCAGTCACCGTGGCAATTAGCTTGCTGGTCATAGATTGATTCGCGATTGTGGAGGGACTGCTAATGACTGGTGCAAATAGCAAAACACACCGTAAGGATATTTCAGTCTGTACAGATAGCCAGAGTTTGAAATTGTTGCTTGTTCTAATCATATCGGATCAGATTCAAAACAAGATGCGAATTTCTTCCAATTTCGTTGAAGTGGGGTGGAGAAAAGCTACAGTGGTCAACATTTTTGCGAGACATTGACTGGAATCTCAAGTGTTTGACTCGCGGACACCCCTGTTTGCTCATTGGTCCATTGCTTACGATTGAGTCATCGCGCCGCGCGAAAACCACTGCCCCGGTTGGCGACGCGATGAGGGTACACCTGATGGTCACCTTTTGCACGCGAAACTGCCTAACACCGGATGGAAACCTTGCAAACGTGGGTTTTGTGCCGTGACGTTGCACCCACGTTACAAGCACGTCGACCAATACGAACCACAGAAACTGAAGTTTGACTGACGAGACCAAAGTCAAACAGTCAGCGTTGAGTTACAATTGTTTTTTATAAGCCCTTTTTGCCCGATGCGAATTGACGAAATCTTCAAGCGAAGCGAGAATCGCTTATAAGCCCAGAGGGTAAGATGAGGTCGGGGGGCTCAACCGGGCATCGTGTGTACAAGAATGCAGCGGCATTTGGCAACTCATTCATTCAGTAGTCTTCGCTTCGATTCACTGAGGTTGCGTTCCAATTCTGTTACTTCACTTCCAATCTCCTTAGCAGCTAGATTGCTCCTGGACAGCTAGATTCATTTCTCCGTGGGAATACTAACTGCATCCTAGGCAGTACACAAGCACGATGTCGCAGAGAGTCTCATTTTCGTCGAGCCAACGTCGTCGCCGTGACCTGAGCACGGCTCTTCTCCTCCTCTCGCTCGTCCTGCTTTCCTCTCTCCACGCGGCGATGGCCTTCCGCTTTTCCGCGGGGCTCCGCGCGGACAAGCTGCGCGGGATGATGCGCGGATGGGCGCAAGGCGGACGCTCGACAGGCCAGCAGCAACAACAGAGCGGTGGAACGAGCGGAGGCAGAATGGGCGGAGGCGGAATGGGCGGCGTCGGCATGGGTGGCGGCGGGGGAATGGGCAGCGGCGGAATGGGTGGCGGCGGAATGGGCGGAGGCGGAATGGGCGGCGGAGGCATGGGTGGCGGCGGAATGGGCGGCGGAGGAATGGGCGGCGGCGGAATGGGAGCCGGCGGCGGCATGGGTGGCGGCGGATTGGGCGGCGGCGGAATGGGCGGAGGCGGAATGGGCGGCGGCGGCATGGGTGGCGGCGCAATGGGTGGCGGCGGAATGGGCGCCAGCGGCGGCATGGGTGGCGACGGAATGGGCGGAGGCGGAATGGGTGGCGGCGGAATGGGCGGAGGCGTAATGGGCGGCGGCAGCATGGGTGGCGACGGAATGGGCGGCGGAGGAATGGGCGGCGGCGGAATGGGCGCTGGCGGCGGCATGGGTGGCGGCGGACTGGGCGGCGGCGGAATGGGTGGCGGCGGAATGGGCGGCGGCGTGATGGGCGGCGGCGGAATGGGCGGCGGCGGAATGGGCGGCGGTGGAATGGGCGGCGGTGGAATGGGCGGCGGCGCAATGGGCGGAGGCGGAATGGGCGGCGGCATGGGCGGACCTGGGTCCTCTGCTCCCGGATCGCGATCAGCCATGGGTCCTGGGGGGAACATGGGTGGTGGCGGAATGGGTGGCGGCGGAATGGGAGAAGGCAGAATGGGCGGCGGCGAAATGGGCGGCGGCATGGGTGGCAGCAGCATGGGTGGCGGCGGCATGGGTGGCGGCGGAATGGGCGGCGGCGGAATGGGCGGCGGCGGAATGGGCGGCGGTGGAATGGGCGGCGGCGGAATGGGCGGCGGCATGGGTGGCGGCAGCATGGGTGGCGGCGGCATGGGTGGCGGCGGAATGGGTGGCGGCGGAATGGGTGGCGGCGGAATGGGCGACGGCGGAATGGGCGGCGGCATGGGCGGACCTGAGTCCTCTGCTCCCGGATCGCAATCAGGCATGGGTCCTTGGGGGAACATGGGCGGCGGCGGCATGGGTGGTGGCGAAATGGGTGGCAGCGGAATGGGAGGAGGCAGAATGGGCGGCGGCGAAATGGGCGGCGGCATGGGTGGCGGCAGCATTGGTGGCAGCGGCATGGGCGGTGGCGGCATGGGCAGCGGCGGAATGGGCGGCGGCGGAATGGGAGGGGGCATGGGCGGACCTGGGTCCTCTGCTCCCGGGTCGCAATCAGCCATGGGTCCTGGGGGGATCATGGGCGGAGGCACAGGCGGTAGCGGAATTGGCGGCGGGGGCATGGGCGGCGAAGGCATGGGCGGCGGAGGCATGGGCGGCGGAGGCATGGGCGGCGGAGGCATGGGTGGCGGAGGCATGGGCGGCGGAGGCATGGGCGGCGGAGGCATGGGCAGCGGAGGCATGGGCGGGTCAGGGTGGGTAGCTCCAGGGTCGCAGGCAGCACCCGGCCAGGGTGGACCTGGGATGGGCAGAGGGATGGGCGGAGGGATGGGCAGAGGGATGGGTGGAGGGATGGGGGGCCCTGGGGGCAACATGGGAGGCGGTACGGGTGGGCCAGGGCCGTTTTCCCCTTGATGCAAGGCAGGCATGGGCACAGGGGGAGCAGGGATTGTGGTGGTGTTAGCTAATGCACGGTGGTGAGGCAGGAAGAAAATATGAAGACACGGAGTAGATATCTTGTTGTAGGTAGCTTGACCATTTGGCTGGTATGGGTGATTGTCAGCTAGCACAGGGGTTTCTCCGAAGCATTGCTGCGAGAGGCCTTAGGGGTTTAATGTTTGCTCTCTTTGCCAGGGCTTGGGTGCAGCAGCATGCTCAGTGGTGCATGGGGGCAAACAGTGTAGTGGTGCTTCGCCCAAGCCCGTAGCAGCCACAATGTTCCAATCCAAGTGCACGTGGTGTCACTTATTAGTGTTTTTGTGGCGATATGAAGTGTGCGCATTCACATTCAAATTCGTTATGTATGAGAGTGTAATTGTGGACGCTGAACGTAAGCCAACTTTCCAGATTGATTTCAGTCAAGCATCTCAGGACTCAGGTGCGCTGAGAGGAGTACACCGGTAATATGGTAGGTCACTAGCGCCAGAAGGCTGCTCATTCCTAGTCCAACACTGCATGTGCAGAAACGGCTTACAGAATGGTCATCGAGTCGCAGTCTCACACAGGTAGCTTCAACCTTGCTCCTGTTGGAATAGAGTCGACTAAATACACAATGCAGACTGTACAGAAGTGAGGAAGCCAATCGAAAGTAGATTAAATCATAAAGAAAGGAAACAAGCAGAACATGCCCAGGCCTGTCATGTGCCTGGACGTGGTGGTGCTTATAGATTTCTGTTCCGCCACGATGAGGCACCTCAATACACTTCTGCCCCACTTTGCCTCGTTATAAGGTGGCTCAAGACACTAGTAGCTCTCCTCTGCTTCGATGTCTGGCCGTGAGAGAGTGTAGTTGAGGGCGTTGAGGGTGAGCTGGGAAGGGGAAGGGAAAGACAGGAGGAAACAAAGATGGAAAGAGAAGGATTGAGCTTAAGAGTACTGAGAGAGTGCAAATGAGGGCGTTAAGCGTGAGCTGGGAAGGGCAAGGGAGAGGAGGGATGGACTTTTGAGGCGCCTCAAAACTTTTGAGACCACTTTTGAGGCGCCTCAAAAGTCGTAGTTGAGGGCGTTAAGCGTGAGCTGTAGTGGGCAAGGGAGAGGGGGGATGGAGTGGGAGAAGGTGAAAGAAGGATAAGAGAGTGTAGGGAGGACATGGACCGATTGATAAGCGCTTGGAATTGAGAAAGCGGGGAGATGGGGAGGGGGTCTAGAAAAATGAGAGTTCAACGAGGTCTTGAAAGTATTAGCCCAGGGTGGTGACAACACACTGGGAGCTGGGATGAGATGGATGGAGTGGGGTGGGGACGGAGGGTGGGGAAGGGAAAGCAGAAAAGATGGACTGATGGGATGGCGAGAGAGGTGGTGTGGCATTGAGAGCACTATGTGCTAGCCAGGAGAACGGGGAAAGAGAGAGAGGGGTTGAGAGCACTGAGCGAGGTGTGATGGAGAAGAGGCATGAGCGGTAAGAGGAAGGAGAGCACGTGTGTTCACTCCTGATGGAAGGTGACGGTGCTTCAGAGGACGAACACTGTTTGACCCCAAGTCGAATCCACAGATTCAGGGATAGAGAAAATTGCCAGTGGACACAAGCATTTCACCGTGCTCGTTTCATTTCACTGTAATCGTTTCATCTCACAGTGCTCGTTTCATCTCACCGAGCTTGTTTCATCTCACCATGCTCGTTTCAGCTCACCATGCTCGTTTCATCTCACCGTGCTCGTTTCATCTCACCGTGCTCGTTTCATCTCACCGTGCTCGTTTCATCTCACCGTGCTCGTTTCATCTCACCGTGCTCGTTTCATCTCACCGTGCTCGTTTCATCTCACCGTGCTCGTTTCATCTCACCGTGCTCGTTTCATCTCACCGTGCTCGTTTCATCTCACCGTGCTCGTTTCATCTCACCGTGCTCGTTTCATCTCACCGTGCTCGTTTCATCTCACCGTGCTCGTTTCATCTCACCGTGGTCATCTCATCATCCAGTGGTCCCCCATGGTACGACACTGTGAACACATCCTTTGCCACCACGCCCTGCATGCACATAAATGGGAGATTGGTGGTGATGAATATTGTGTGGGATGTGAAGAGTGGTACAAGTCAGTGAACACATCCTTTGCCACCACGCCCTGCATGCACATGCATGAACGATGGGAGAGATGGGAAAAAGAGATTTGCTGCACGTATAAGACGGTGAACACATCCCTTGCCACCTCGCGCTGCACACACACAGATGATGGGAGATGGGCATCAGTGCGATAGGAGATGGTGATTAGTGCATGGGATGTGAAGTACGGTAAGTCTGTGATCGCATCCTTGGCCACCACCCCCTGCACGCACATGTGTGGACAATGGGTCATGGGTGGTGGTGGTGAGAGCTGGGAGACGGCCATTGTTGTGTGAAACAAGCAGCGTGGTATGACATGTAAACACATCCTTCGCCACCACTTTCTGTGCATGCACATGGATGGACCATGGACGATGGGCCATGAGACACGGGTGGTGTTTTGAGACAACCCACCAGTAGTGTCTCCACTGTTTGCGGAAAGTAGTCTCATAGCACTACTTTTCGCAGCCCACCTGTCTGCTTCTGACAATCTGCATGAGCAGCCCCGCTTTTTTGAGATGACTCAATCCAAAATCTCCATCAGCATCTCCGTTTTTTCATTCGGCACCGGTCCACAGCACAGCCCGCTCTACTCGTCACACTAACAGACATCCACGATCTCCATCAGCAGCCCCACCCCGTCTGCTGCCTCCGATGCACGGCATAGCTTTTCACCGCAGCTTGACAGCAAAACAAACTCACAGCAGCAAAGCCAGCACCCACCTCGGTATCGATCTCTGCTGACGTCACACTGACGGACATCCCAGTCAGCACATCCACAATCTCCATCAGCAGCCCGGGCCGGTCTGCTGCCTCCACCCTCAGCTCGCTGCCACTGTTGTCAGGGAGGGGCGTGAGCGCCATGCGCGTTGGCACGCTCGCCTGTTGGGGATGGGGGTTGGGAGTGCAAGTAAGGGAGCACACATGTGAAGGGAGAGGACGCATGCATCAGTTGGTGGTCTGCCGCCTCCACCCTCAGCTCGCTGCTGCTGCTGCGTGGCAGGGCTGTGAGTGCCATGTGCATTGGGATGCTAGCCTGTGGGGATGGGAGCACACATGAAGGGAGAGGATGCATGCATAAATCGCCGATCTGCCGCCTCCACCCTCAGCTCGCTGCCGCTGCTGTTGGGGAGGGGTGTGAGTGCCATGCGCATTGGAATACCAGGCTGTGGGATGGGATGGCATGGGATAGGAGTGCGTGCGAGGGGAAAGGGTGGGTTTAGCCGCCTCCACCCTCAGCTCACTGCCAGTGTTTTCCTGGAGGAGAGAGTGGGCATCATGCACATTGGCACGCTCGGCTATGGGTGGCTAGGAGCGAGAGAGGGGGTGAGTGTGAGGAAGATGGTGCGATGAGCATTCAGCAGCAGGGTGGGGGAGCATGGTGCGAAGAAGTCAAAAGAAGCCCCAACAAGCTCATCGCACCATCATGTTGGGGCCCAACAAGCCCCAACAAGCCTGAAAACTGGCTGAAAGTGTGGAGGGGCACGGCAGGGTGAAGGTTGTGGGAGAATTGGGAGAGGGGAGCAGCCAATGCTGAGGTGGCAACAGGGTCAGGTACATTGACTGGTTGTTTTTGAGAAATCTCAAAAATCGCTCACATGTGCTGCGGAAGTGCACATACATGGAGGTCCCACAAGCACATGGTTCTCTGAGAGGTTGCACAGCCACACGATGCAGCTGGTGTAGTTGCTACTAGAGATTCCCATGCATTTGCGGTGAGCATACCTGTACAGTTACGGTAGGCTCACAACAGTGCTCCACCCAAGCCTTTCGACCCTCGCCGCAATCCCAACCTCCTGCCATTCCCCACCCTCTCCCCCAACCGCGAACCATGGCCCCACGCACCACGCACCCCAGTCCTGCCACCTTCCCCTCACTCACATAACGAGGTGACTTTTGAGTCAACTCAAAAGTCAACTCCAAACCTGTGCCCCGCGCACCGCGCAACCCAAAACTTGCCACTTTCCCCTCACTCACATTGCAAGGAGGCGAGTCGCATGTGAGGCCCATGGCCAGCTGCGAGCCAGACTCCTGCGGGTGAGCAAGGAAAAGGGGAAGGGGGAAGGGGGAAGGGGGAATGTGAAGGGGGGAATGGGGAAGGGGGAAGGGGGAATGTGAAGGGGGAAGGGGGAAGGGGGAAGGGGGAAGGGGGAATGTGAAGGGGGAATGGGGAAGGGGGAAGGGGGAATGTGAAGGGGGAATGGGGAAGGGGGAAGGGGAAGGGGGAATGTGAAGGGGGAAGGGGGAAGGGGGAAGGGGGAAGGGGGAAGGGGGAATGTGAAGGGGGAATGGGGAAGGGGGAAGGGGGAATGTGAAGGGGGAAGGGGGAAGGGGGAAGGGGGAAGGGGGAATGTGAAGGGGGAATGGGGAAGGGGGAAGGGGGAATGTGAAGGGGGAATGGGGAAGGGGGAAGGGGAAGGGAGGGAGAGGAGAGGGGTGCAGGATGGTGGGGTTGATGCAAGGAGGTGAACCGCATGTGGTACGGTTATAACGCGGGGTAGAAGGCAATGCATGCAAGCAGCAACACTTACGGGGTTGCATGCAATGCACATCGGAGCACTCACGGGGTGGTGACCAGCTCTCACGGGGTGGTGACCAGCACTCACGGGGTGGTGACCAGCTCTCACGGGGTGGTGACCAGCTCTCACGGGGTGGTGACCAGCACTCACGGGGTGGTGACCAGCTCTCACGGGGTGGTGACCAGCTCTCACGGGGTGGCATGCAAACCACACAGCGCGTCAGAAGTGCAGAGAGCAGCACTCACGGGGTGGTACTTGAGGAGGTTGGCGATGATGGTGCCTCGAATGGCCTCTATCATCTCCGCACTCTCCACCTTGCCACCCCTGCGAGTGGAGGTGGTGTGTGGGATGGCAGCGCAGGTCAGAGAATGGGATGGGACGGGACGGGATGGGATGGGATGGGTTGGGATGGGAGGGGATGGGAGGGGATGGGTTGGGATGGGAGGGCAGGGGATAGAGATTTTTAATTTAGAGAAGAAGTCATCTCGTGCCGCTCGCACATGAAGGGAACGAGGGGTGGCATGGCAGGGCAGGGGATGGGGGATGGATGAGTAAGTAGGACGGATAACACGTAGTCTGTGGCATTTCTCTTTTGGCAGTTTTGCTTTTGCAGGATGAGGGAAGGGAGGGCCGCCTGGAGAAGCGCAGAGAAGGGGGCGAGTAGAGAGGGAGGGATTTGAGACATCTCACAAGAAGAGAGGGAGGGAGGGGGAAGGGAGTATGCGTGGGGTCAGTCTCATGGGCAACATGCGCGCGCGTGCGCGCACGCCGAAAAATATGTGTGTTTTGAGACGTCTGAAAGCCAGTCTCACGGGCAACGTATGTGTGAGCGCGCGCACGAGCGTGTTACACAATGCGCCAACACTTGTTGTGCACCTTCCTCCCCTCCCCACTCCACACCTCTCCACACCTCGCCTCACAGCCCTGGATGATGGTGACGTCACGTCATTGCATTGCATGCAACACTGCGTGCAATCGTCACTCACTCGCGCATCTACTCACGGTTCACCACCATCCGTCGTCCTGTCCCGTCCCAGATCTTATGCCTCTCCCCCCTTTGGCCAACCTCCTCCCAACCCCCTCCTCACTCATTCTTCCGTCCCTGGCCACCGCCCCCCTCCCCCTCTCCCCTCCCCACAAAAACGGCACTCACTCCTGCGTGATGGTGAAGGTGTTGCGAGCAACGCTGCCTACTGTGGTCACGCGCCCCTTCACCACGTTCAGCCCCAGACTGCGCAGTGCCGCCATCTGGCAGCAAGGGGAGTGGTGGGAACAGAGTGGGGATGGGAGGAGGAGAGGGGTTGGGAAGCCAAGGCAGGAAGGGCAGTGAGCTTTCAGCTGCCTACTGTCGTCACGCGCCCCTTCACCACGTTCAGCCCCAGACTGCGCAGTGCCGCCATCTGGTAGGGCGGGTAGTGGGAGCAGGGTGTGCGGGTGAGAGCAGGGTGTGCGGGTGGGGAGGCAAGGCGGGGAGTGAGCGAGGTGAGGACCAAGTTGACCAGGGAGGGAGGGAGCGTTTTGAGACGTCTCAAAGTTGACCAGGGAGGGAGGGAGCGCTTTGAGACGTCTCAAAGTTGACCAGGGAGGGAAGGAGCGCTTTGAGACGTCTCAAAGTTGACAAGGGAGGGAGGGAGCGTTTTGAGACGTCTCAAAGTTGACCAGGGAGGAAGGGAGCGTTTTGAGACGTCTCAAAGTTGACCAGGGAGGGAGGGAGCGCTTTGAGACGTCTCAAATTTGACCAGGGAGGGAGGGAGCGTTTTGAGACGTCTCAAAGTTGAGCAGGGAGGGAGGGAGCCATGTGCCCATCCACGTTCAGCCCCAGACGTTTGAGTGAGGGAGGGCGCCATGTGCCCCTCCACGTTCATGTGTCCATGTGACCTTTGAGTGAGGGAGGGAGCCATGACTCAAAAGCCAGGCCGCAAAGCACAGGAGGTATGGTGGGTGGCATATGCAGGGAGAGCAGTGAGGTGAACACTAAGCTGACTTAGGAGTGACTGCCCGTGCACCAAATTCAAGACCTGACTGCAGAGAGCCATGTGAGGCGCCTCCCTGCACCCGCCGTGCCACAATGAGTGCACCCAGGGGCTGCCTGCCTGTCCCCACTCTCTGCCTCCAAGTTGACTTTTGAGTCGACTCAAAAGTCAACTCCCTTGCACCCGCTGTGCCACCGTGAGTGCACCCACGGGTTGCCTCCACCCCACACGCACTCACGGGTTGCCTGTCCCCACTCTCTGCCTCCACCCCACACGCACTCTCCTCTCACTCCTCGCCTATCACATCCCCCCAACACCACCCCACAACACTGCGGCACATCGCCATACCCATGCCATGCCATGTCCCCCCACCACCGCACTACACCACGCCATGTCACATCACACGTCCCTACTCCTCGCCTCACCCCCACGCTCACCGTGTCTATGAGGGCCCACCACACCCGCCCCCTCCCCCCCTCAACCCCCACCCCCTGTGCTTACGGTGTCCATGAGCGCCCCCAGCCGGTCGCCAAACTCGAGCTGCACCACCGTCGCATTGGCCTCCGAGTGGTTGTCTATCACCACCACCGGCACCGGCACCTCCTCTGTCTGCGCCTCTGCTGTGGCTGCTGCTGCCACCACTGGTGGGCGGCTGGCCTGGTGGGGCGAAAAGACAAAACGATGGGGCAGATAGGGAGAAAGAACGGAAGTTCTGTTTTATGTTCCGGCACCTCCTCTCCCTCTCCTTTCCTTGTGTGCTGCCACTGCCACTGCAACCTGCTGCTTGCGCCTCCGCTGTTGCTTGTCGTGCTGCTGCTGCTGCTGAAGTGTGGTTGGCCTGGAGATGGGGACGAGGAAGGTTGGAGGTGGGGGGAAAGAGAGAAGGTTGGAGGTGGGGGGAAAGAGAGAAGGTTGGAGGTGGGGGGAAAGAGAGAAGGAAATTCCACCACAGACGCGCTCATCTTTATCTAAAGGTCTATCATCCCTACCAGCCCCATCCCTTCATCAGCAGCCACTCTGCTGCTCCTCCTCCTGCTGCTGCTGCTGCTGCTGCTGCTGTACCGTGCCAGGCTGTCCTGCTACGTTGCCACGTCATGCCATGCTCTCGTGCCACGCTGTCACAGCACGCCATGCCACCATGCTCGTGGAATTCAAGTCATGCCATGAACTTCATGCGCCGCCACGACATGCCATGCGTCTCACCTTCCGTGCAGATCGAGGATTAACAGGCGCAAGGGCGGAAGGAGCTGCGCAAGCAGCAGGGGGGACGGCGCTGCTGGGTGGGGGGGCGAGTGAAGAGGGGAGTGAGGGGAATGATGTGGATGCGGTGTGGTTAAAATGGTGCTCAAATAGCATCGTATCGATATCGAGCAGGGTACGTCTAGCATGGAGGTTGGAGCAGCAATATATATTTCGTTTCTCTTTCTTTCTTTCCTTCTTTCTTTCTTTCTTTCTTTCTTTCTTTCTTTCTTTCTTTCTTTCTTTCTTTCTTTCTTTCTTTCTTTCTTTCTTTCTTTCTTTCTTTCTTTCTTTCTTTCTTTCTTTATTACTTCTTTGGTTCTCCCTTCAAATTTCAGACAACCGCCTGCACTGTTTCTTATTGGGACGCCTCGGAGTCAAAATTACGCACGGAGAAGGTGAGAAAGTGGGGGAGTAAGAAAGAGGACATGCGGAACTAGAGGCGTACTAAGAGAGGGGAAAAAGAGCGTCATTGATCACGCAGAGATGAAGTGACGCACGGACAAGGTGAGGAACTGGAGGAGTAAGAAAGACGCCATTCGGAACTAGAAAGACAAAGAACGCACAAAGAGTACGAAGAGCGAACAAAGAAGGAGCCGTACGTGGTCGATTCACTCTGCAAGTCTTGTTCATTAAACGGAAATGCATGTTTCGCCAGATAAATGAGAGCCACGTGTGGCCCGGCATTCAAATTTGCCTCGAATGCGCGACGCCACGCATCAAGCAGGATTATGCACGAATCCCGTCTCAATTCCGAGAGAAAGCGGGAAACAGATAAACTAGCGCAAAACACAAAATCGCTTCTGCTGTTGCGTACCTTCGTTGCTCGCGATGGCTGTTGCTCAGCGGACGACCGGTGTCTAGCGTAAAAAATATGGGACCGTTGTATGTGGTGGCACGCACAGCAGAATTAGTCGTAGCCACGTCGAACATGCCGGAAACCACGAAGACGGTAGAAACGGCGGAGACAGCGGACACGGCAGCCATGTCGGAGAATAGGTGCGTGGACGATGATGTCAACGGCGCGACTGTGTTGCTGGCAACACGTGACGTGATGCGCCAAAGTTCGCAAATTCCCTATCAGCGCTAACCGCGACAAGTGATGAGCACAGGACGGCACGGTTAGGGACAAGATGACCACCGACCTTCGTGAAGCTATGCTTTCAAGCAAGCTATAGCCGAATAACAGCAGTGGTGAAATGCAGATGCGAGGGAAGGCAAGACTGAATGACTGGAAATCAGAATCTCTGACCTCCCTGCTGCTGCTGCACCGACCTCCACTGTAGCAATTCGAGGATCTCGAACGAGGCGAACGGGCAACTCCTCACCTCACCCTCGGTGCTTGATTTGTGCCTCAAGTGAAGAATCAGCACAGGCAGGTGCTTGTAATGAAGAAACTCGGTGGTGCTTCTCCACATTGACCAATGGCGAGCGCGTCCAGATGCTTGAAGATTCCTCCACGCTGGCAATGTCGCTCGCACTGTCAGCTACGCCACATGGCGGCACTTTCAGGAGGATTACATGTTGACCTGGGCCCAAGGCAGATCTCATACGTGGCAATACTACACTTCGCATCCATGAACAAGGGCTTCTCTGAACTCGATAAAAACCTTTGATTAAATTGAAGCTTGACCTTTCTAACGCTAAACTATATGGAGAATAGAATCCCGGAACTGGTCCTACAACATTACTTATTGAACAAACATCCCATACGATACAAAGCCAATAACTTCATTACACTTCCATCTACCTGCACAGCTTGTGCTGCGCTATAACACACTCCAGGACACCCCAGGAGTCCTAGACACCAAAAAACTCCTTGTGGAGCAGCTGCACCAGCTCCGTGGCTTCATCGTCGTCCACTACCAACGCAATGTTCACCTGCAGACAGTGGAACAGCCAACGTCAGCATTCACTCAACAAACACCCTGTTCAAGACTCAATTTATAACAATTTGCTAGCCAACACCTCACATGCTCTTAAAATAATTCCCCCCCCCCCCCCCCTCTCACCTTGGAAGCTCCCTGCGAGATCATCTGCACATTTGTCCCGTTTCGTCTGAACACGCCAAACACCTTCTCCAGAATCACCGACGACCGGGACACGTTCCCAATCAGACTAATAATCGACCGTCGCTGCAATAACTTCACCACCGCCACTCTTTCAAGCTCCTCCACCATCTTATCCAGCTCCTGCTGAATGAGCTCCCGCGACCACAGCTTCGCAGGGTCCAGCGTCAGCGACAGGCTCACCTCACTCGTCGCCACCACATCCACCGAAATCCCCTGCGCCTCAAAAATCGCAAAAACTTTCGCGAGGAACCCAAACTGCCCGAGCATCCTCAGGCTGACCAGATCCAGCAGCGTGACCCCACGCTTCACCACGATACTGGTCAGGAGCGCCGACGACAAATCCCTCTCTTGGGTAATCAACGTTCCAGGAGCGATGCGATTATACGAGTTCTTCACCCTCACAGGGATATTCCCTTCCCGCGCCGGCCGCATGCTCTGCGGATGCAGCACCTGCGCTCCAAAGTAAGCCAGCTCAGAAGCTTCCTCGAAGGTGAGGAAGGGCACAGGAATGGCGGAACGGTAAAGGTTCGGGTCGCAGGTGAGAACGCCGTCCACGTCCTTCCACACCTGCACCTCCCGCAGCCCCAGCGCTCGCCCTATGATGGTCGCCGTCAGGTCGCTGCCTCCGCGGCCCAGCGTCGTTGTCGCTCCCGTCTTCTTGCCCTGATGGAGGGCCGAGGGGTGCGGGGAGAGGGGCGAGGGGCGAGCGGAGATGGTTGAGAGGAGGCACGACATGCTGTTGATAGTCAAGCTTATGCCCAATGCTCGCCCGTGCATGCCCACACATAACTTGCAGAAATATAATTCTGGGCGCCTCCTTTCCTCTCCCTCTTCCTCACACTCTCCCTACTCCACTCACCCTGCCAAGAAAGCCCGTGACCACCGGAATGAACGCCCTGCTGCTGCTGTCATCCCCACTGGCAGCAGCACTTTCCCGGTGAGCATCGTAGGCGGAGAGGAGGGATTCCGCCACGGCGGGGTAGGTCTCTTCCAGCACGTCCGCGTTGGTGAACTCGTCCGTGGTGATCACGCCCATGTGGAACGCGTCGAACTGAGAAGGAGAAAGGAAAGGGGAGGAGAGGTCTGAAAGCAGAATGAAAGGTCTCGTCCAGCACGTCCGCGTCGGTGAACTCGTCTGTTGTGATCACGCCCATGTGGAACGCGTCGAACTGAAATGCAGAAGGGGGTGGCAAGGGGTGGTAGTATGGGAGGACACATGGGGCGAGAGACAGCAGTGGGACAGGCCTCGTCCGCACGTCCGTGGTGGCGACGCCCATATGAAATGCGTCGAAGGGGAGAATGGGGAGAAAGGGGGGAGAAGGTGGGAGGGAGGTGAAGAGGGGAGTGGAGGGAGGGGAAGAGGGGAGTGGAGGGAGGGGAAGAGGGGAGTGGAGGGATGGTGGATTTGACGTCACAGGCGGGGTCAAGAGCAGCAGGGCACGGCTGCGTTGATGAACTCGCCCGTGTTGATCACCCCCATTTGAAACGCGTCAAATTGGTGGGGGGAAAGGGGAGTCAAAGAAACGGAGGCGAGCGAGGGATCACGGGAAGGCACAAGGGGGGGCGTCAAACGGTGGAGGGAGTAGGGAGGGAAGGAGGGAGGGAGGGAGGGAGGGAGGGAGGGAGGGAGAGAGGGAGGGAGGGAGGGAGGGAGGGAGGGAGGGAGGGAGGGAGGGAGGGAGGGAGGGAGGGAGGGAGGGAGGGAGGGAGGAAGGGAGGGAGGGCTTCGCCCGCGCCATACCTGCTTGTACGGCACCGTACCTGCTTGGACGGCACCATACCTGCTTGGACGGCACTCCCAGGGAGTTGAGGTCTGCTTGGTCCGCGTCACAGCTGCTTGGTCCACGTCATACCTGCTTGGAGGGCACTCCCAAGGAGTTGAGGTAGGCAGCGAAGATGCGCGTGGAGCAGCGCTCGCCGAACGACACGAGGTAATCCGAGGAGCGCGGGGTCAGCTCGCGCATGAGCGCTATCCCCGTTACTAGCTGCTGCAGCTCGTGCATCAGTTCTGGTCAGAGGGGACAGGGAGAGGATTGAAGCAAGAGGAAGAGGTGAGTGACGAACCAGATTAGATTTGGAAATCAAGAGCAAATGAGAGGAGCTGAGTGGACGGTTGACATAAGCAGCGCAAAAGGATTCAGAAAGCAGCTTGCGCACAACATAGAGCGCAGCGGAAGAGTTCAACACAGTCCGAGGGGTTTTACAGGGTTTAACCCTCAAGGGTCGCTGAGCTGCTCTCGCCCATGAATTCAGGGGCTAGCTCGCACGCGCACGTAAATATCATCACTTGCGCACCCAAATCTCCCACATAACTCACCCAATTGCCTCACCCACACCGCTCACCATGCACCTCAGCGCAATCGACGCCGAGCTCCTCCATGGTGGACACGTGGAGCTCTCTGATTACTCGCAGCTCGTCGATCGCCGCGCACTTGGTGGACCCGCACGTCAGCGCCCTCTCGCCTACCTGCCAGTAACGGGGATGCAATGTAGATAGCGAGAGTTGTGAATTCGCCATCGCTGTCGGTTAAAACTCAGTGGAGAAGAAACAAGGTATAACGAGTCGAGAAAGAAAGGTACGTTCGTTGCTATGTCGGTCATTGGAGGAACGATGATCGGCGGAGCGACTGGCCTGCAAACGTCCAACTCCCTGTATTGATGATACAAAGTCCGGTACAGGGGCATCAATACAAAGACCGGCTACGAAGACCACTCTGTTAGACGGCCGTCACTGTCCTTATGCCGGAAACCAGCTCTCAAGAGTCCGACTAGACGTCCACGTAGCACGTTTTCGAATCCAATTCTGAAATCGCATGAAGCGACCAGCATTTGCGCTTTTGGTCAGCAGAGCACGCCGCACCTTGATCAGGTTGTTTGTCGTTTTCCCCATGGCGGACATGACGATGATCGGATTCTCCTCTGGGAATGACAGAATCAGATCTGCCACCTCCCTCATGCGCGCCGCGTTCGCCACCGACGAGCCGCCAAACTTCATGACTACAGTGTACGGCACTTCTGGCGGCAACGCATCTGGTGTCTCGGCGAGCGGCGCGTCGAGTGATTGCAGCGCCGACGCGGCTCGGACGGATGACAACGTAGCGGCGTCTGGTTGGTCCTGATCGAGGCGTCGCGAGGAAAGCGCGGGAATAGGTGACTGTGCCCGAGCGCCAGCGTTAATCAGAGATAACGACTGGCTGGATTTGGCGGGAACCGGCTGGGAGAAGCTAGGTAGGCCGTGAGATCTGGATCGTACGTTCCGATCTAGGCACTCCGCTCTTACTCTCGGAGCGCAGGAGGCAATATTGATACCAGGAGCCATGGCGGACGTGGGAATTTGATCAAAACTTCTGCTAATACCTGTAAGACTATTGTTATGCACGGGACGGTGATTGAGTGAACACGAGATGTGATCGCGACACGACCGGCTGCTACTATAAACAGAGAGGATGGGACGAGAAACGGCGACTTGCGCGCTGGCGGCTAGACTAGAACTAGACACGTACCTACTCGCTACTACCTGAAGACTGGCTGTCGGCTGATGCAAAAATGCCATCGTATTCCTTCCAAGAGACTATGAAGGCCTGACCAGCAAACGACACAACGAGCACCACGAGCACACTCAAGCAACCGTAATTTGCTCGCAATGCCGCAACTAGCTTCCCGCGCGGTCTGTTCCACCCTACAGCCACAGACAATGGCGCGTTGGAAAGGGGCCGGTTTTAGGCCCCAACCTACTCGAGCAGGCTTCACTGCGTTGGAGGCGCGGTGCCGTGTTGGACCCTGAAAGCAGGGTTTATGGAGCTCACCTACCCGCAAATGCACAGATCTGCGCTGACTTGGACTTGAAAATGAAACGCCTGGATGATTGTGACTGCTCCAATCTTCGCTGTGCTGTTGTGCGTGTGAATGAGCCTGTTCGGTGACCGTTTGAACAGTGCTTGAGGGGAGGGGCTACGGGGTTGGTGGATTGGCGGGAAAACGGCGAAAAGTGGAAGCGCGTTGTCCGTGATATGGGAATCTGCGCCGCCCTGGGAGGAAGGAGATCATGCTCAAACTAAGGCGTATCTTGGTACGCAAAAACGGTTCGATTTGATCTGCGTTTTTAAAGTTCCAGCTTTAGGTTTGGGATATAATTATAAGGAAACAAAGTGCGAATCTGATCCTCACTGACTGAAATATAGGTGCAGCTCGAAATTGGAAATGACACCTCGGAAATTCAGGACGTGTCTCAGTTCGCCTCGGGTTGCCTCGATCAGACACGATCAATAACTTCCAGGAAAGTAAAGAGGCGATTTCATGCAATCAGGGGCAATCATTTGATCGCGATCAGCTGATCGCCCCCAACTCGATCAACCGCGAAAACAGCCCAATCAAACACAACCACCAACAATCACCGACGATCACTTGATTGCATTTGATTGGGGTACTACACGACGCTAGCGAACAGTTACATCGGTCGGCAAGGATTCGTGAAACCCTCGCGATTACCCCGCTGTGGAAACCCCCGCTCTGGAACTGCAGCATTTCTGGATTGGCCTGTTTTCGCGACATTACAGGGAAACACTCAAATTCGCTAAATCCATCACGAGGGGTTCGCAGTCGCCAAAGTGGGCCCGAAGATGGCAGGAAATGTATGTACGCCTTCTGTGTACCCTCGTGAAAAGTTCGAGGAAAATCTTTTCTGATCGGGCGGCGCGAGCTATCCAAACAAAGGCACCCCGATCAGATCAGCCCCGACCAGATTACAGCCGACCAGAGGCGAACCGAGACACGTCCTCAGCCCGCGACTGACAGCAGCACAACCCAGTCTGGTTTCGCAAAAGCACAACGGGGCAGAGGCGCATGTTGGGGTAACCACACAATGAGACGTCAACAGTAGCACCAAACCTGGGGGCTCCGCACTGTACACCTAATGCTCGTTAGAGCCCCTCCCGGTTGCCTTGTGAAGGGGGTCTGTAAGCTAAACCAGCATTTCGCGTAAGGTTCGTTCGTTTCGTCAGGCTTCCAGCGTGCTTCAAACCCGCACATGGTAACCACCCAATTTGTCTGACTCGCCACAGTAGGGGTTCGCTGCACTTGTCCCTGTTGTGTGTTCATTGTTACTGAACGAACGCTACAGTACCGAAACAAGCATGTTCAACAATTGCTCTTCATAGTACAAAACAACCAAAACACAAACATCATCCAATCAACATCCCCCACCTGGCCCCTCAGTTTCATTCAACACACAAAACGAAACAAGCACAAATGGGCACAAGGAGTGAACACTTGTGCCCAGCAAAATGCCTTCGACACCTTGCTGGGACTGCTCCACCACCCCTCACAGACGCATCCACTCAGCCGCCTCCACATACCCGCCCATCACGGCGCCCACACCGGCGTCAAGCAGCTGCTGACGGCGGGACGGCTGGGTCATCCAGCCAGGCAGCACACGGCCGCGCGGACGAGGGGTCTCGGGCGGGGGAGTTGCGCCGGGGGTGGGCACGGGCGGCGGGGCCACATTGAGGTTGAATGACGGGCTCGCGCGCTCCATCCGCGCGACATTGATGGGGTTGCGGATGTCGAAGAGATGGCAGAGATCGCGCGGGGAGATGCGGGTGGCGCGAGCATATCCGATAAGCATCTCGCATGCAGCCCGGGCAGTGCGCCGCGCTTCGCGGCCGACGGGGTCGGCGTCATCGTAGACGGCTTGTATGGTTGTCGGCGCCTCCCAGAGCTCCAACATCAAGCCCGCCTCCGGCTCCGTCGTGGGCTGTCCTGCAGCGCCTTCGGCGCACGTCGGCTTGCCGTCGTCGATGGCGACGTACTCTGCGGTCGTCATCGCACCGTTCCCGAGGCCGAGCCCGCTAATGAGCGTGCCGACATCGTCGATGTCGTCGTCTAGCTCGATGTCGGGATAGACGGCGGGGGTGGGTTCGTCGTCGTGTACGTGTGTCAGATCCATGGACCACGAGAGCGGAAGACACCCCGTGCACCACCAGCACCGTTGGATGGTGCGCGCGCCGACGGAGGTCCAAGCGTCCGACAGCCACGCCAGGACATCGCGCAAATTCGGGCGGAACCGCGCGACGGCACTAGTCGCGCCGTCGGCGTTCCACAAAGCCGAGAAGGCCCGCAGCCAGTGCTGGCGGTAGCTGGCCTTCGCGGTGGCGATGATGCCCTGATCGAGTGGCTGGACGAACGAGGTGGTGTTCGGCGGTAAAAAGACGAGCCGCACATTGTTCATGCACGTCGTCCGCACGCAGCAGACGATCTCGCTCCATGCGAGTTCGGAGCGGAGCATGTGGCTGCTCGCGTTGTCGAGCAGCACGACGATGTGACGGCCTTCCGCGTACATTGCTGCGTTGAGCTGCGATATGAAATGCGTGAATAACCGCGGGCGGGGGCGTAGTCCAGACAGTTAAGCAGTTGCGGGCACTTAATGTGAAACAACAAACACGATTGCAAATAATCAAACATTACGAGCTTACTGGCGAGGTCATCCAACCCTTGGCGTTGTGCCGCCAGTAGCAAAGGGTTTCGGGGTCATAATCCGGGCGGAAGTCATGCGGGCGCTTCGCCTTACTGATCACGAGCGGTCGGAATGCGTGGCTCCCGTCGGCATTTACGAGGAATGCGACGGTCAGCCGCTCCTTCGAAATTTTGCGGCCGGGTATGCGGCCGTTGCTGTACGTGCGCCGAGGGAGAACGGACAGCCAGAGCGCCGTTTCGTCCAGGTTGAAGGTGTCCCGCGGGGTGAGACCGAGATGCGTGAGGAGTTGCGGCAGCTTCTCCCGTGCGTCACGCACGGCGGCCATGTCCGCGCTAGCCGCTTCGCCCTGTGCTGCACGGCACCTCACACCCTGGCGCCGCAAAGCACGGCGCACCCAGCCGATGGAGCAGCGGAATGTGGGCGGAATGCCCATGTTCCGCGCCATCGTCGAGACATGGTCGCGGATGGTCTACAGCGTCAGGGGCACGCCAGCGGGCCCTGCGTTTGCGATCCACCGCGCCATGGCCTGCTCTAGCTCAGGCCATGCGCCACCTCGACGGCGCACTTGGTTGTCGCCGTTTGCCGTTACAGCCCATCGTTCGGCGCTCTTCAAAATGCGGCCGACAGTGCTGCGATCCGGGCGCAATCCGTATTGAGAGAAACACCACCTCGCCAGGTCAACATGACGCAGGCGGGGGTTTTCGACATGGTGCGCGCAAAGAGTGCGCTTGATATGGAGCGGGAGCTGCTCCCGCCGATTAAAACGGGGCATTATGAGAGGCTGTGGTGTGTGAGAATGTTGAATTAGTGAATTTGTTGTGCTGATTTTAACTTGAGATGAGGGGCTTGCTGTGGCAAAGCTGGGGCCTGTTCTTTGTGGCTCGTCCCACTTGTGTGGTGTGTGTTTGTTCCATGCACCGGGCTTGCATTTTTGGTCGTGGGGTTTGGTAACCACACGATCAAATTACTGACGTGGGTTCGGCGAACAACGCCTGGCTGATAATGCGCTTGTACCCCACAAGGGCAGATTACACGTGGCAGCGTGAATCTGCCCAAATGTCTGTTACATGCACGATGTACCTCGCTTAGGTGGCGGGGCAGGTTGGCGAGTGCGTTGACGAAACCACGCACGTTTCGTCCATTCATTTCGCACGACTGAATCCTGGCCTCGGAACCAATCAAAACAGGGTCGGCATGCATTGTTCTGGACTGCACGTACATTGGTGGCCGTGGCGCGTGTACTGTTGCCAGCCACCCATGTGCTAGTACTGTGGGAGCAGCAAGCAGGGTTTTCGAGCTCGGGGGCAGCGTGTCCATCCGGTGCATGGCAAATTCGCGTGCACTGGTCGGGCATCATGTGTAAACAGGTTGGGTGGTGGTGGAACTCTGACGGGAATACTGCACGGGGGGGAGGCAATTAAAACAGTGGATTCCTTATGAGCTCTAGTACAGTGCGCAGAATCCGATAATAGGCACGTTATAGCGAATGGGCCCAGCTAGGTGGGGTGGGGACATCTGAAATCGAGGCGTGGCAGAGGCATGGGTGTGCGAAATAGACGACAATAGGGTGCAGACCAGGAAATCAGGTCAGAACGTCTTGGCCAGGCGCGTCGCATGAGTTTCAAAGCTGCCACGCACTAAAAAGCCCTGTGGGATGCATCGCATTCGCGAACCATCACGCACCAAAATATCGAGAAGTTAAGCGAGGTTTTGGTTAAATGCAGGACGCGCAGCTACCCTAAGCCTTGGGTGACGTCACCATTATTGAATATTTGCCTGGCGACCTAAACCCATGGCAGCAGCGACGTCACCCAGCTCTGCGAGCTCACCACCCTGTGTGTGCACTGCTTAGTATTTGCCTACAATCAGTGTGTAGTTTGCATGCCACCCGGTGGGTGGATTAGATTGCCTGCTCCTGCTGCTCCTACCTACTCGCCCCCTACTCCTTGAATTTTGTGTTCCTACCCACGCTGTCACTTTAACAAAACTGGCTGAATGTAATGCCCCTCGGCCACCCACGCAATCATCAAGCAACAAGCAATCACTTTCATCCCCCTTTCCCCCTCCGCTTTTTCCCCTTCCCTTTCCGCTCACCATTCCTCCTCCCGCTTCTCCCTTCCCCTTTCCCGCTTCCCTTTCCTGGGCTTCACATGCGCCTCACATGCGCCTCACATGCGACTCGCTTCCTTGGACCGAAGCCCACCGCCCAGCACCCTCTCTCCGTCCCTTCCCTTTCCCCCTCCCCGCTACCCTCGCCCCCTCTCAGGATTCGGGCTCACAGCTGGCCATGGGCCTCACGTGTGCCTCTCTTCCCTGCACTATGAGTGAGGAGGGAGGGGTTGGGGTTTCTGGGGACGGCCGTAGGGGAAACTGGGGAGGGCCGTGGGAGAAACTGGGGAGGGCCGTGGGGGAAACTGGGGAGGGCCGTGGGGGAAACTGGGGAGGGCCGTTGGGGGGAATTGGGTTGAGCGGTGTGGGACTGGCTAGGGCGGTTGGGGGGTTGGGATGGGAGGGTCCTTGCGAGGTGGTGTCGTGGGGATGTGTCATGTCAATCAAATGACGCTGCTTGGGATTAGGCTGATAGGGTAGGTTTCTCAAGGTTCTCCCATCTATTCCCTCACTCTCACTACCATCCACCATAGCCCGGGATCCCAACGGCATGGTACTCACACCCCTCTTGGAGGCGGCAGACTGTTGAACCGTGTGTGCATCTTCTCCCTTTGAGGCACGTCAGAATTCGTCTCTTTCTTCACATGTGCTCCCATCCCATCCCATCCCATCCCATTCCATCCCATCCCGTCCCATCCCATCCCATCCCATCCCATCCCGTCCCGTCCGGTCCCGTCCCGTCCCGTCCCATCCCATCCCATGCCATGCCATGCCATGCCATGCCATGCCATGCCATCCCATGCCATCCCATGCCATCCCATCCCATCCCATCCCATCCCATGCCATCCCATCCCATCCCATCCCATCCCCTGCCATCTCATGCCATCCCATGCCATCCCATCCCATCCCATCCCATCCCATCCCGTCCCATCCCGTCCCATCTCGTCCCATCCCATCCCATCCCATCCCATCCCATCCCATCCCATCCCATCCCATCCCATCCCATCCCTTCCCATCCCGTCCCGTCCCGTCCCGTCCCGTCCCGTCCCGTCCCGTCCCGTCCCATCCCATCCCATCCCATCCCGTCCCATCCCGTCCCGTCCCGTCCCATCCCATCCCATGCCATCCCATGCCATGCCATCCCATGCCATCCCATGCCATGCCATCCCATGCCATCCCATGCCATCCCATCCCATCCCATCCCATCCCATCCCATCCCATCCCCTCCCATCCCATCCCATCCCATCCCATCCCATCCCATCCCATCCCATCCCATCCCATCCCATCCCATCCCATGCCATCCCATGCCATCCCATGCCATGCCATCCCATGCCATCCCATGCCATCCCATCCCATGCCATGCCATGCCATCCCATCCCATCCCCTCCCATCCCATCCCATCCCATCCCATCCCATCCCATCCCATCCCATCCCATCTCATCCCATCCCATCCCATCCCGTCCCATCCCGTCCCATCCCATCCCATCCCATCCCATCCCGTCCCATCCCGTCCCATCCAGTCCCATCCCATCCCGCCCCGTCCCGTCCCGTCCCGTCCCGTCCCGTCCCATCCCATCCCATCCCATCCCGTCCCGTCCCGTCCCGTCCCATGCCATGCCATCCCATGCCATCCCATGCCATCCCATGCCATCCCATGCCATCCCATGCCATGCCATCCCATGCCATGCCATGCCATGCCATCCCATCCCATCCCATCCCATCCCATCCCCTCCCATCCCATCCCATCCCATCCCATCCCATCCCATCCCATCCCATCTCGTCCACCAGAGCCTGGCATCCCAACGCGCATGGCGCTCACGCCCCTCCCCGACAACAGCGGCAGCTCACTGAGGGTGGAGGCAGCAGACCGCCGGCCCTGCTGATGGAGATCGTGGATGTGCTGACTGGGATGTCCGTCAGTGTGACGTCAGCAGAGATCGATACCGAGGTGCGTGTGACATAAGCAAAGGTAGGCAGTGAGATGGGTGTGTTGTCGGTTTAGTAGGGACCTGAGGAGAGGGTGGTGTGCCGGGGGGTGCCTCCCCTCATCTTCTGTCACCCGTTGCCCGGCAGTGTGTGTGCTGGCGGAGGGTGTGTTTTTTGTGACAGCTGTTGGTGTAGCTGTACTGTGCAGTGGTTTTGCTTGTGTCACTTTCGTAAACTTTCGTGACACAAGCTGTGCTGTGCTGCACACAGGTGCTAGACGTCTTTCATCACCCGTCTCCCATCTCCCACCTCCCATCGCCTATCTGTAAGCATGCAGGGCGTGGTGGCAAACGATGTGTTGACTGGCTTGTACCACGCTTCAAATCTCACGCATTAATCACCCATGTCCACATTTCTCAATCTCCCAATCGTGTGCATGCAGGGCGTGGTGGCGAAGGATGTGCTCACCGACTTGTACCACTCTTCACATCCAACAAAATATTCATCACCACCAATCTCCCATTTATGTGCATGCAGGGCATGGTGGCGAAGGATGCGTTCACTGACTTGTACGACTCTTCACATCCCACACAATGTTCACGGTGTCGTACCATGGGAGGCCACTGGATGATGAGGTGACCGCGGTGAGATGAAACGATGCCGGTGAGATAAAACGAGCACCGTGAGATGAAACGAGGCCGGTGAAATGAAACAAGCACGGTGAGATGAAGCGACCACGGTGAGATGAAACGACCACTGTGAGATGAAGCGACCACGGTGAGATGAAACGACCACCGTGAGATGAAACGACCACGGTGAGATGAAACAACCACAGTCAATTGCGTGTCCAGCCACACGCACCCATGCCGTAGCCCTCTTTCTCATTCCGTTGCTTTCTTTATCATTTCGTTTCCCATCTTTTGTGTACTTCTCTCCTCACGCTCACACCCCCCACTCCTCTCCTTTGCCCCTCCCAGCTCACACTTTATGCTCTCAACTACACTCTCTCCTGGGCAGAGTGTGAAGCAGGGGAGAGCTACTAGTGTCTTAAGGCACCTTATATCGAGGCAGAGCTATTCAGGAGCAGCAGCAGATCCAGGCACATGACAGGCGTGGGCATGTTCTGCTGCTCTCTTGCAATTAGGACTGAATCGAAACCAGCCGGCTTTCCTCACTGCTGTACAGTCTGTTTTGTGTATCCATTGATCTCTAATGCACACTTTGTGTGTGCTGTGTGTCTTCCCTACACATGTGTCTCCAGTAGGACTTGGAAGGTTGCTGTCTCATGCTGCGCTAGTCATTATTACTATTCTCCAGACCGCGCACCCTCAACTGACATGAAACCGAACGGCTGACATTTGGAAGGTGAGTGTAGCTTTCCATGTAACAGCTTGGCCTCGTTCTTAGTGAGAGTGCAGAGGGAACTGACACACGGGAAAATCCGCACACTGCCACTCAACAAGATTACACATAGGCCATCACATACATTCTAGACATCCTACTGCCCAGACTGTGGCTGCTACGAGCTTGGATGAAGCAGCAAGACTCTGATAGCCTCCATGCGTCAGTGCGCTTGCTGCTGCACCCAAGCTCTAGCAATGAAAACAAAACACAAAACCCCAGAAATGCTACTGGGAATCCTGTAATATCGTAGATGCCTACCTCCCCTACGAGCCCCATATGGTAGAGCCACCTACAAACTGGATCTTTCCTTAGTGTCTGCAATGCCCCATGCCTCTGCCCACACCAGCACACATGCATTTGCTAATATGGTGCCACGCCAACCATGCACCCCCAGGACCCATGCCAGCCTTGATCAAGGAGAAAACGATCCTGGTTCGCCCATACTGCCACCTCCCATAGCATGTCGAGATAGTAGGTATACTGAGGAGCCATAGCTAGGGTTGACCTAGCTAGGCAAGAGAGAATGAAGCAAAGAGGGTTTGCACTAGCAACAATGGTGGTACAAATAGCTAACCCTAGAAGGGTTGTACTCGCTATAGAGCACCCCACTGCAGGCTAGAGCATAATATTCTGACACACCCCCATAGTCAAAGTGGGGTGTAATCAGCAGAGCAAGCAAAGCAGTACAAGCTCAGGGTGGATCACGATGTCACCACACATTCTGAGCACAAGCAAGAAGCAATAGTTTAAGGTTCAAATTATGAGCAAAGCTAGAGGCAGTCACAGGGGGCAAATGAGGAGGAGGAGGGCTGGCGAGAGGAGAGTAGATAGGAGGCGACGACTGAAGATGCAGACACACGGGCAACAGACGGCTCTGGTGCGACAACGTGGCTACCGGGAATGAGTGCCCCGGAGTACAGGAGTAACAGGCTCCGCGGCTAATATGCTCGGCAGGAGCAACGGACCCACAGGCGACGGCGCAACCGGCTCTCTGAGCTACCGGGAATGAGTGCCCCGGAGTACAGGCGCTGCGTACGACACGACGGCAACCTCCGCTCAACCTCCCCCAACAGTCCCACACCCCTCGACACACACCCTCTGCTTCAAACCCTAGCTAGCTCCACTCCCACGGTACCCCCCTTAAACCCCAAACCCTAGGCTCCCACACACCACCCCCCTCAGCGGCAGCTGTAGCAGAGGGAGACTAGGGAGGAGGAGGAGCAGGGGGAGGAACTCACAACCGACACCCCCATAGTCGCCACCCCCACACTCCTCACCCCCAAACCCTAAAACGGGCGGAACGGGGGAAGGAGCGCGGGGGACGGCGAGGGGGACGGCGCACGGCCCCCAGGACGCCACCACGGGGCAGCGAGGGGCCGCGCGCGGCTCCTTAGGGCGCCGCGAAGGGGCAGCGGGGGGTCGCGCGCGGCTCCCCAGGGCGTCGCGGCCGTCGACGGGGCAGCGAGGGGTCGCGCGCGGCTCCCCAGGGCGGCACGACGGCGAATCGGGGTAGCGGGGGGCCGCGCGCGGCTCCCCAGGGCGGCGCGACGGGAAATCGGGGCAGCGGGGGGCCGCGCGCGGCTCCCCAAGACGTCGCAACGGAAAGGGCGGGGGCGCGCGGGGTCCCCCACGGTAGGAAACCGCCGCGCGCCTCGGGGCGCACGGCGGGGAGAAAACCGCCGCACGCCCCGAGCGCGCGGCGGGATAAAAAATCCGTCGCACGCCACGGGGCGTGCGACACAGACAGTAGTAGGAGCAGCGGAAGACTGAGGTGGTGGGGCCCACCCACAGGATCGACCCAACAGGATCGTCCTGCTCTGATAGCATGTCGAGATAGTAGGTATACTGAGGAGCCATAGCTAGGGTTGACCTAGCTAGGCAAGAGAGAATGAAGCAAAGAGGGTTTGCACTAGCAACAATGGTGGTACAAATAGCTAACCCTAGAAGGGTTGTACTCGCTATAGAGCACCCCACTACAGGCTAGAGCATAATATTCTGACACCCATGTTGTCCCCAGGCCCGCCCATCCCGCCACCCATCCCTCCGCCCATCCCTCCGCCCATCCCTCCGCCCATCCCTCCGCCCATCCCGCCGCCCATCCCTCCGCCCATCCCGCCGCCCATCCCTCCGCCCATCCCGCCGCCCATCCCTCCACCCATCCCGCCGCCCATCCCTCCGCCCATCCCTCCGCCCATCCCTCCGCCCATCCCTCCGCCCATCCCTCCGCCCATCCCAGGTCCACCCTGGCCGGGTGCTGCCTGCGACCCTGGAGCAACCCACCCTGACCCGCCCATGCCTCCGCCGCCCATTACTCCGCCGCCCATGCCTCCACCGCCCATCCCTCCGCCTCCCATCGCTCCGCCGGCCATCCCTCCGCCGCCCATTCCGCCGCCGCCCATGCTGCCGCCGCCCATTCCGCCACCACCCATGTTTCCCACAGGACCCATGGTTGATTGCGACCAGGGAGCAGAGGAACCAGGTCCGCTCATGCTGCCGCCCATTCCGCCGCCGCCCATTCTGCCGCCGCCCATTCCGCCGCCGCCCATGCCGCTGCCGCCCATGCCGCCGCGGCCCATTCCGCTGCCGCCCATTCCTCCGCCGCCCATTCCACCGCCGCCCATTCCGCCGCCTCCCATTCCGCCGCCGCCCATTCCGCCGCTGCCCATTTCACCGTCGCCCATTCCTCCGCCGCCGCCCATTCCGCCGCCGCCAATTTCGCCGCCGCCCATCCCGTCTCCGCTTGTTCCGCCGCTCTGTTATTTTTGCTGGCCGGTCGACCGTCCGCCTTGTGCCCATCCGCGCATCATCCCACGCAGCTTGTCTGCGCGGAGGCCCGCGGAGAAGCGGAAGGCCATCGCCGCGTGGAGAGAGGAAAGCAGGACGAGCGAAAGGAGGAGAAGAGCCGTGCTCAGGTCACGGCGACGACGTTGGATCGACGAAATTGAGAGACTCTGCGTCATTGTACTTGTGTTGCGCACAGTGCAGCTGAGAATTCCTTGTAGGATTGGAAGTTGGACAGCTCGAAGTTTTGTTATCACTGCAATACATGAAAAAGTGTGGATGAGTTGCCAATGCGACCAGCCCTTATGTACTCCCGTCGCGCCGCGAATGCTGCTGCACATGGAAATGCTTTCCTTGCGGCGCGATGACTCAATCTGCAACCAGTGGGCCAATGAGGCTAGCGTCGAGTCAAGCACTTGAAATATCAGTCAACGCTCTTTGAAATTATGTTGACCACTGTAGCTTTTGTCAACAACCGACTTTCTCTATTCGCCCTTGCTCTTGCCAACGAAAGTCGAAGAAAATCTGTGCCCCGATTACATCAGTTCCGTTATCCGTATTTCGTATCGCAAAGCACTCGGTTATCATATTTAGCGTGTGTTTTGCTGCAGAGCCCCAACAGAATTTCGCACTTCACGCTTTCACAATGAAGAATAAGTTCGCGACAACCAGCAGGAAATAGTTGGTTCAGAAGGTTTCACGAACAAACTCCCCTGAGGTGCCATGTTGTGATCCGCGCGACTCGCTCGACCAAGCTGACGTGGCAATACGCGCTCGTCGATCGACAGCAGGGGGGTATGGAACAAGGCGAGAACGCGGAGGAATTCCGTGAGATCGCATATCGCGATGGGCAGGGAAGAATTAGGATTTCCATTTTAGCGTCACGCAGCGACTCCGTCGCATGCCGTGTTCATCGCCGCGCGGGTTCCGCCGCGTTTTCTTTCAGTGAAATGTGGGGGAAGAAGGTAAGGGGGGGGGAGGTACGGGGGGATGAAGGGGGGAGGAAGGGGGGAGAAAGGGGGGAGGAAGGGGGGAATTTTCTGACGGAGGTTGCTGGGAGGTTCTATGAGGTACGTGCGGAAAACCTTAGAGATTATAGATTTCTCTCGTGGCACAGACTCTGTGACGCTTCGGAAGCGCACTCGCATGGCGCACTCCAGCATCCCAAAAATGGGGGCCCCCGAAAAGTAGGGTTTCGTAGAGTATGTTTGAAGTAACACGGGCATATGAGTGGGGAAACCTACTTTCGACGCGTCGCGTCGAAACGAAACCAGCCCAAGTACCTTCGGAACTCTCGAAAGTGCTTGGGCAGCCAGCTTGGCAGCTTCGGAAACCACACGAGTGGTTGAGCATCTAGGGTGACAGCTTCGGCGGCACATCGCAGCTTCGGTACCCTTCATGAAGGCCTGGAACAGGACTGGCGTGTCCCATTGGCTCTAAGTCCCGTCCGAAATTGCTCTGTTGGAATTGGATAAACGTAATATTAGTACACAGATTGGGAAACTTTGAATGTGGAATCAAATACAGTTTGTAATATAGTTGTGCTCTTGTTTTGTTCTCATACCTAGAAAAAACATATACATGTATTGGATTATATTAGACATCTGCGAGCGTTATATTAAACAATGATACATTTTTTGTTCACGACGACATGTTGCATACATTCCTATCCCTTCACAGTTTCATGCCATCAAACGCACAAACAAGCGTCACGTGCTGCGTAGTTGTGCGAATGATCTCAAACAAGTTCCTCTGGCTAGGGAATTGGATGTACTACCTGAATGTGAAGAGAAATAGGACTGAAAAAAAACATCCAGATTATTAAACGGTGACATGTTGCGTTTATGCCTATCCCAGCACAGTTTCATGCCATCAAACGCACAAACAAGCGTCACGTGCTGCGTAGTTGTGCGAATGATCTCAAACAAGTTCCTCTGGTTAGTGAACAGGATGTACTACCTGAATGTGAGGGGAAATAGGGCTAAAAAAACATCCGGACGATTAAACGGTGACATGTTGCGTTCATGCCTATCCCAGCACAGTTTCATGCCATCAAACGCACAAACAAGCGTCACGTGCTGCCTTGTTGTGCGAATGATCTCAAACAAGTTCCTCTGGTTAGTGAACAAGATGTACTACCTGAATGTGAGGGGAAATAGGGCTAAAAAAACATCCGGACGATTAAACGGTGACATGTTGCGTTCATGCCTATCCCAGCACAGTTTCATGCCATCAAACGCACGAACAAGCGCCACGTACTGCGTAGTTGTGCGAATGATCCCAAACAAGTTCCTCTGGTTAGGGAACATGATGTACTACCTGAATGTGAGGAGAAATAGGGCTAAAAAAACATCCAGATGATTAAACGGTGACATGTTGCGTTCATGCCTATCCCAGCACAGTTTCATGCCATCAAACGCACAAACAAGCGTCACGTGCTGCGTAGTTGTGCGAATGATCCCCAAAAAGTTTCTCTGGTTAGGGAACAGGATTTAATATCTGTATGTGAGGAGAAATAGGGCTAAAAAACACATCCAGATGATTAAACGGTGACATGTTGCGTTCATGCCTATCCCAGCACAGTTTCATGCCATCAAACGCACAAACAAGCGCCACGTGCTGCGTAGTTGTGCGAATGATCCCAAACAAGTTTCTCTGGTTAGGGAATTGGATGTACTACCTGAATTTGAGGAGAAATAGGACTAAAAAAAACATCCAGATGATTAAACGGTAACATGTTGCGTTCATGCCTATCCCAGCACAGTTTCATGCCATCAAACGCACAAACAAGCGTCACGTGCTGCGTAGTTGTGCGAATGATCCCAAACAAGTCTCTCTGGTTAGAGAACAGGATGTACTACCTGAATGTGAGGAGAAATAGGGCTAAAAAAACATCCCGATGATTAAACGGTGACATGTTGCGTTCATGCCTATCCCAGCACAGTTTCATGCCATCAAACGCACAAACAAGCGCCACGTGCTGCGTAGTTGTGCGAATGATCCCAAACAAGTTCCTCTGGTTAGGGAATAGGATGTAATATCTGAATGTGAGGAGAAATACGGCTAAAAAAAAACATCCAGATGATTAAACGGTGAAATGTTGCGTTCAGGCCTATCCCAGCATAGTTTCTTGCCATCAAACGCACAAACAAGCATCACGTGCTGCGTCGTCGTGCGAATGATCTCAAACAAGTTCCTCTGGCTAGGAAATCGGATGTAATACCTGAATGTGAGGAGAAATATGGCTAAAAAAAGCCTCCAGATGATTAAACGGTGACAAGTTGCGTACATGCCTATCAGCATTATAGTGCATTGTTCATATTTGTAACTCTCGTTTCTTTTGACCAGTAGCCTCTACTGTATATATAGGTGAGACTACCTGGTTTTCAGATCATTCGCATATGATTTGGATATATTTACAATCGCCAGTTTGAATTGAATAAAGTATTAGTTGTTTTTTATGCTGTATGTGTTTGGTTTTCGGTTACTACGTACAATGCAGTCGTAAACCTCACCATGCGTAGGATTCTTGAAGCCTTTGAACAGAAATCGCCTATGTTTATCATCATTTGTGACAGTTTGTCTGTGTAATTTTTGACTTCCGAAAATGGGTCTTGGTTGTAAATGAGCTGTTAGTGGGTGGGTCTTCGGCCCAATTTATTGTGTACAGCTGTGTTCGTGAATTGCCGTGCTGTACAACAGTCCCGCCCTCTTGTTGGGCTGGCAGTTGCAAAACACGCCTGTGCGATTGCGTCGCAGTGCGTCGGTGTACGCCGCAGTCCAATGCTTGCTCACGTCCGTAACAGCGCTGACATCGCTGTGCCACTGCTGAGCCTCTGAGTGGATGAAACAGCATCTTCAACGCCACGTTAGCGGTTGCCCCGCTGGTACGTCAGTGGGCGTTTTTGTCGCCAGACTTTCTCAGGTTAGGTGCGGTGTAGCTGCTTCTTCTTTATCTCGCTTCTTTTCAGGAGCACAATCCAGACCTCTCATTTTATCTGTTCGTAAAGCTGTTTCTAGGGACATCATCACTCTGTTTTTAGTCGTAACCTCAGTCCCCGCAGCAGCGAAGTCCAAGTTCGAGTAAGGGCGCCTTCGGGTTTTTTTCCTCTAGTAAGGGCGCCTGTCGCGAAGCGCAGCGTTAATTATCCGTGCTCGCTTGAAGGTAGGGAACTTTAAAAACAGGCGATTCGGACTTCGTGACTTGTTTGCCTGGTTTATGTTTGCATTGCTCGATCTCTAGCGCGTATCGCTCGCATTGAGTTCTTGCCCAGTCCCTCCCATCTCTCTGCCTCTCTCCCCGCGCCCCATTTCAGAACCGCCGAGCAAGCTATCAGCATCACGCACTGCAGCGAGACTCACCCTGCTCGCCGTCGCTGCTGATTTTCGTGAGACATGGTGCTCGATGCTACTTGTTATGCGTTGCTGGCCTGTAATTTCCTTGGTTTGTTTCCCTGTTCGGCTCATCCTGTTGTTTGTCTGCTTTTCTTTTATGTCAGCCCATTATGCGCTCGACGCCAAGCGTCAGCCGGCATGGTCTTTGCATGCCGTGGTAGCTAGTTCATGTAGTTTCTGCTTGTATTTCTTGCTCTGTTATTGTACCTCGTCAGTTACTTGCATGACGCCTGTTTCTTGCAGATCGCTTGTTTCTTGCAGGTTGCCTGTTTCTTCTTGTATGTCGCATGTTTTTTCTTGTGGGTCAACTGTTTGCCTTGCAGGTCTTCTCCTTTTGAGAGCGCACGATGAGTGTTGCTGCTGGTAAGATATGATCATTTTTTTTTTCACCATTGACATTCAGTCTCATTTTGCAGGCCCAGCAGTTAAATTATTTGAGCAGCGGATGGTCTTCCTTGCCAATGTGTGTGCTAGAGCAGCCCGAGTATTCACTTGCTTTTTTTGTTTGAAGTGTTTCTTTAGTATCATGACTTTTATGATTGTATTTTTATTAAAAATCAACATGTGGATGCTGCTGGTTTAACTATCAGTAGTATTACTATTATTAAGCTGAACAATTTTGAAGCTAACAATATTAAATTCGTAATTGCATGCTACATTTGCTAAATCTAAAATCGAATACCCCTATTTATAAAAAAATCGATTATACAACAGTAACGATTTGTTCAACCCGATTTGGCTAAAAAGTGTATTTATTAAATGTAAAGAGCGCTCACTGTAACACCCTCGTCACTGTCACAAACAGTTTCTACAGCAGGCTATCACTTACCCTAAAATCGCTACACCCAGAATATGAACGCGAGTGTCAGATACGCTTAAGTAGAAGCATTAACGGGTTTGCAGCCTTCAACACATTGGCTGAAGAAATCACACTAATTGGAGATGGACCAATCAGGACAAAATTTCCAACCGAGATGGTGTTCCACGGTTCTTGGAGGCCCACTCGCGATCACCCTCAAGCCTAAAACATGTGGCAGATGGTTGGTTCCTGAAACGTGGGAGTGTAATCAGCGCGATGTGCATTCCGAACCTAAGAAAGCATCATGCCCGGCATTCCCAGAGATACCTTTCCAACAGCAACCCCAAAGCAACCCCCAAAGTATGTTTTGCGTAACATTTTGGGGTGGGGATTTTTTGGATGAGCCCGTCCATTCTCGCATGGCGCCCTGCTAAACTAGGCTAGTTTGCTCCTCGCTTTGACTCGCAGTGTTTGCGAAATCGAGTTACTGAGCTCGGCGACTCTGGTGGCAGAGGAACAACAGCGAGACCCTAGCTCCGCCATGCGCGCAGCTCCGCCATACGCGCAGCTCCGACTGCCCTGCCCTTCCCCGCCCTACACTGCCCTGCCCTTCCCTGCCGCTACCCGCCTTGCCCTGCCCTGCCCTGCCCTGCCCCGCCGCCCTTGCCCTCGTCAGCATTGTGCCACTTGTTGCTTCAAAATTTCCGCTTGCCATTTCCGCACTTGTCTCCGCATCCCACTTCCGTAGCCGTCCCAGCCTCCCTAACTGCTCTAATCTGGCGAGAAGACTTTTGAGTCGACTCAAAAGTCACCTCGTCCCAGCCTCCCTAGCTGCTCTCATCTGGCGAGAAACTCAGCCATGCCGAGCCTTAACCACCACCCTTACCGCCTTAACCACCACCCTTGCCGCCTTAACCACCACCCTTGCCGCCTTAACCACCACCCGTGCCGCCTTAACCACCACCCTTGCTGCCTTAACCACCACCCTTGCCGCCTTAACCACCACCCTTGCCGCCTTAACCACCACCCTTGCCGCCTTAACCACCACACTTGCCGCCTTAACCACCACCCTTGCCGCCTTAACCACCACCCTTGCCGCCTTAAGGGTGTGTCAGATCCGCTAAAAGCTGTTCTGGCTGGTTATTAGTCGACCATATTGTCGACAAAATCTTTCGCGAAAGCCGACTACGTGGTCGACTTTGTAGTCGATTACCCATCGGCCACATCTTCAAAGCAGACACATTTGGTGGCCGATTTGCAGGCCGTTGTAGGGAAGTGTCAGATTTGCACTTGAAGTTTTGGCCGGATTGTGCGACGACGTCGCACGTTTGCCAATGATTGGTTCTTTCGTAGTTACCATGCGCCATTATATCGCATGTGTGAGCATGCGAAGTCGTATGGTAACAGTAGCTCATCCTGGTCGACTTTCGAGTCGACAGCACGTCGGATTGTTGTCGACTCTTGAAACGGCCAACGGATCTGACAACAAGTGGCCGGATGTGACGAAAAAAACGAAATTACAAACGAACATCGCAACAACGTTACTTTCGCGAAATCCGGCCAGTCGGATTAGAGTGAAAACAGATCTGACACACCCTAACCACCACCCTCGCCGCCTTAACCACCACCCTAGCCGCCTTAACCACCACCCTAGCCGCCTTAACCACCTCTCTAGCCGCCTTAACCACCTCCCTAGCCGCCTTAACCACCTCCCTAGCCGCCTTAACCACCTCCCTAGCCGCCTTAACCACCTCCCTAGCCGCCTTAACCACCTCCCACTTGTTGTCGCAAGCTTGCTGCTGCGGGGCCGATCGTCCCTCCTCAGTCTCCCTGCGCATCGCGGCGTGCCTCGAGTGTAATGAGTCGTGTTTCGAGTCGACTCGAAACGCGGCGTGCCTCTAGTGGCTGGAGTGGCTGTAGCGGGAGCAGGGATGTTACTCGCCTGTGGAGTGTTTTTTCCTGCTGTGACTGTATCAAGCTGCGGCCGTTGAGAGACGGACTGCCTGACAGCAACGACGTCAACCCGCCAGGTGTGTGGCTTGACTGTCACCTTACTCGTACACCTGATAATGCAAACTGTTGTTGCAATTTTTCCTGCTGTGACTGTATCGAGCTGAGAGATGGACTGCCTGACAGCAGCGACGTCAACCCGTCAGCCAGGTGTGCTGGCTGAGGTTCACCTGGCGTAAGGTGAACAGTTTCAACTTACTCCTACACCTGCAGGGAGTTCTTGAGAATTCTCACAAACTCCCAGTTTCGCCTTACTCCTACACCTGATAATGCAAGCTGTTGATGCGATGACCAGGGTTGTCCATCCTAGCATAGCATAGCGCTGCTGCTTGTCATGTGCTGGCTGTGAGCTATGCTGTCATGTGCTGGCTGTGAGCTATGCTGTTCGGTCAATGCTCAGGAAGGCCACTGTGCTGAACCGTGCTGAACCGCGTACACTCAGTTTGGAATGACATTCCCTTGTCTACCTGATCCCTACCTAGCCTAGGCACCTACGCATCAGAGAATAGTGGATATTAGGGCGAGTTGGTCTGCTGACTCTGGGTTGAATCTGTGTGGCTGTGAGCTATGCTGCTGGTTAGTGCTCATGGGCCACACAGTAGGTTCAGCTCACAGAGTAGGTTCAGCTCACAGAGTAGGTTCAGCTCACAGAGTAGGTTCAGCTCACAGAGTAGGTTCAGCTCACAGAGTAGGTTCAGCTCACAGAGTAGGTTCAGCTCACAGAGTAGGTTCAGCTCACAGAGTAGGTTCAGCTCACAGAGTAGGTTCAGCTCACAGAGTAGGTTCAGCTCACAGAGTAGGTTCAGCTCACAGAGTAGGTTCAGCTCACAGAGTAGGTTCAGCTCACAGAGTAGGTTCAGCTCACAGAGTAGGTTCAGCTCACACAGTAGGTTCAGCTCACACAGTAGGTTCAGCTCACACAGTAGGTTCAGTTCACAGAGTAGGTTCAGCTCGCAGAGTAGGTTCAGCTCACATCACCCATCACCATTGGCTCTCACCTGTTCTGACACAAGTCACTCACTCTCATGCATGCACACTCACTCTCATTCGTGGTGAGGGGGGCGCCACTTGTATGTACATGCCACTTGTCTGTGCAAGCCTGCATGGATGGTCCTGTACGACACTTCCCTTGCTGCCACACAATCACCATCTCCCTCTGCCCGTGGCCCATCTTTCATTGCTCAGGTCATTTCCCATCTGTGAGCATGCAGGGCGTGGTGGCAAACGATGAGTTCACTGGCTTGTACCACGCTTCATATCTCATGCATTGGTCACCCATGTCCCATCTCCCAATCTCCCAATCGTGTGCATGCAGGGCGTGGTGGCAAAGGATGTGTCACTGACTTGTACGACTCTTCACATCCCACACAATGTTCACGGTGTCGTACCATGGGAGGCCACTGGATGATGAGATGACAGAGGTGAGATGAAACGAGCATGGTGAGATGAAACGAGCACGGTTAAACGAGCATGGTGAGATGAAACAATCGCTGTGAGATGAAACAACCACTACACACACCCATACCATATCCCACTTTATCATTACGGTGCTCTCTTTATCATTCCGTTACCCATGTTTTACTTTCCTTCTCTCCCTGCCTCCTCTCCCTGGCCCCTCCCAGCTCACACTCAACGCCCTCAACTACACTCTCACGACCAGATATTGAGGCAGAGGAGAGCTACTAGTGTCTTGATGCACCTTATAACGAGCCAGAGAGTTTCCAGTCCAGTGTCTGAAGGCACCTTATAGTGAGGCCGAGGGCTAGTAGAGTTTTGAGGTTCCCTATACCGAGGCAGAGAGTTACTGGTGCAAGGTGTCAAACTATATGTGCTGCATATTGTCTAGGCTGTAGTGGGGTAGCCCATATGGGGTACAACCCAATTAGGGTTTACTACTTGTACTCCTGCATCCTGTTAGTTCACTCATTCCTGCTGCTAGATTCTAACATGGTTTCAGAGCACTAAGGTCCGTAGGACCGTTTTTTTTTTTTTTTTTTTCGGGCCCACCTACCGCTGCGGTTACCGCGCTACCCCACGTACCTGCCTGCCTTGCCTTGCCTTGTGACGTGCTGCACAAGCGCTGCCTCCTGCTGCCCTAGGCCAGCGCGCTGCCCCTAGAGGCCCGTAAAGCCCGCGCGCCGCCTCTACACGCCTGTCAGGCCCGCAACCACGCTGCTACCGCGCGCTGCCCGCACCGAAACCGCGCAGCCCGCACCGAGTCGCGCGCAGCCCGCTGCAGCCACGCGCAGCCCGCACCGAGCCGCGCGCAGCCCGCTGCAGCCGCGCGCAGCCTGCACCGAGCCGCGCACAGCCCGCTGCAGCCGCGCGCAGCCCGCACCGAGCCGCGCGCAGCTCGCAGCTGCCGCGCGCAGCCCGCGCCGAGCCCACGCAGCCCGCGTCGAGCCGCGCGCGGCCTGCTACGGCCTCGCGAGGCCCGCGCGCGGCCCGCAGCAGCCCGCGCCGAGCCGCGCGCGGCCTGCTACTGCCTCGCACGGCCCGCGCGCGGCCCGCAACAGCCCGCGCCGAGCCGCGCGCGGCCCGCTACTACCTAGCGCGGCCGCGCGCGGCCTGCAGCAGCTCCGCGCGCTGTCCGCGCAGCCCGCGCCGAGCCGCGCGCGGCCCTCTGCCTCGGCCCCGACCTGCCGCTGATGCGGCCCCGCCCCGCAGCTGCCACGGCCCCGACCTGCCGCTGATGCGGCCCCGCCCTGCAGCTGCCACGGCCCCGACCTGCCGCTGACGCGGCCCCACCCTGCTCCTGCCGCTGAAGCGGCCCCGCCCTGCAGCTGCTTCGGCCCTGCTCTTCAGCCGGTGTTGCGGCCCCGACGTCGCCGCTGTCGAGCGCCGGCCATGCTCGCCCGGTGAGCGCCTGCTCTCCCAGCCTTTGGTGAGCGACTGCCTGCCTGCCTGACGGCCTGCCTGCCTGCCTGCCTTCCTGCCTGGCTGCCTGCCTGCCTGCCGGCCTACCTGCCTGCCTGCGCGCCTGCCTGCCTGCCTGCCGGCCTGCCTGCCTGCCTGCCGGCCTGCCTGCCTGTCAGCCTGCCTGCCTGCCTGCCTGCCTGTCTGCTTGCCTGCCTGCCTGCCTGCCTGCCTGCCGGCCTGCCTGCCTGCCTGCGTTCCTGCCTGCCTGCCTGCTTGCCTGCCTGCCTGCCACGCCTGCCCTGCCCGCGCTAATGATACTGGCAGGTGGTCAGATGCAGCTCCAGCGACGTTCACGCGAGCCTCTCACGCCCCAGCAGCTTAGTGAGTGGTATACTAGCTGGGGTTGTCGCGGTAGCCGTCGTAGCTGTCGCCCTGGGGCTGGTCAGTTGGGAGCGTCTAGCAGTGGCCAGCTGCAGCTGCAGGGGCGTCCACGCGAGACACTTACGCCTCGGCAGCTCCAGGAGTGGTACGCTCAGTGTAGCAGGTCTACACGTACAGTTCGCTGCCCGTACGTCATTCGCACAGGTGCTAGGACTGGTCAGCCTTGTGGGACACTTGGTCACACACAGTCCCGCTGCTTCGCCCGTCTGAGCGACGACTGGCGCACAGTGTTGAGCGACGACTGGCGCACAGTGTTTGGCGACGAGGCTGAGCTCCCCACCTGGCTAGAGCTGCATGGACAGGGGGTAGATATCTTTGCGCGTGACTATGATGCTATTCTCACTGCCATGTATGCATTGTCTACTAGTGCTGACCGTGCCTGTTGCCTGTGCGTACCGCCTGACCCTGGTGAGGCTGCTGCCCTAGGTGCTAGTGCGTCTCCTGCTCTAGGTGCTGGTGAGGCTGCTGCTCTCGGTGCTAGTACGTCTACTGCTCTAGGTACTGGTGAGGCCGTGGCTTCAGGTGCTGCTGTGTCTGCTCTCTCTGGTACTGCGCCCACTGCGGTCTCGCACACCTTCACCCTTGACTCAGGAGCTTCCCGCTCCTTCTTTCGCGACTGCACCGCACTCACGCCGCTCCGTCGGCCAGTCCCGGTCTCCCTGGCGGACCCCTCTGGGGGTCCGGTCCTTGCCCACTATTCCACGGTTCTGCCGTGTCCGGCCGTCCCGTCCGGCTCGCTGTCAGGTCTTTACCTCCCCTCGTTCTCTACGAACTTGGTGAGTGGAGCTGACCTCCAGGATGGGGGGGTTCACCAGTTCACTCCTGCGAGTCAGCGAGTGACTCACTGTACGTGTGCTAGGACGGGCCGGCACTTGGCCACGTTCACCCGTGCACCTGGCTCGAGTCTGTACACACTGACCACTGAGTCCCCTCAGGTAGCTGCGTCTGCGTCTGCGTCTGCGTCTGCGTCTGGTCAGCTGGCGGCCCCCTGCGAGTGTCGCGCTTTGTCACACGACACTCTCCTGTGGCACCACCGCCTTGGTCACCCCTCCTTGCCTCGCCTGCGTAGCATGCACTCTCGCTCCCTGGTCTCTGGTCTCCCCAGGTCTCTGCCTGCCCTCCCTCCCTCGCCTGCGCCGCCCTGCATTCCTTGCGTCGAGGGGCGGCAGCGCGCTGCTCCTCACTCCTCCTCGTTTCCTCCCACAGAGGCTCCACTGCAGACGCTCCACCTGGACGTGTGGGGCCCAGCCCGCGTCCAGGGACAGGGCCACGAGCGGTACTTCCTGCTGGTTGTCGACGACTACACGCGTTACACCACGGTCTTCCCCTTGCGGACCAAGGCGGATGTCCCTGCTGTTTTGATCCCCTGGATCCGCGCTGTTCGTCTCCAGCTCCGCGAGCGGTTCCGGTCGGACTTTCCTGTCCTGCGTCTGCACTCTGACAGAGGTGGTGAGTTCTCCTCCGACCTCTTGGCAGCCTACTGTGCGGAGCACGGCATCACCCAGTCGTTCGCGCTTCCGGCCTCTCC